GAGAGAGAGGGAGAGAGGGAGAGAGGGAGAGAGGGAGAAAGAGGGAGTGGAGAGAGATATCCTACTACCCAGACAGAGTGGTGTGTCGGGATGAATCCTCGATGTAATGCCTACCCAAAAATGGGATCGGGGAGAGTGAGTAGGAGAGGAGGACGGAAAGGTAAAACCGGGACGTGGTGCCAGGCTGAAACAGCTTTGTACTACCGCCCACACAAGTAGATGCAGGACACAGAAGGAACACTAACACTGTCAGGGAAGGACCCCTCTCCTTTTCGTGCTGTCCCTACCATTGGAGGTGACAATGGGAGACATGTAGGCGAGTGCTTAGAGAGCGGTGGCCGAACTAAACTGAACAAAATTGAACTGAACGGGAATCAGGGCGAGCTTCCTCGTCGTGCTAGGTACTCCCAGTCTGTCTCGTCTTCATCTTGCACTCACCCCTTCGCCATTCACATTCACAAACCAACCATTCCAACGACCAACACGACCGGTCAGCGACCGTTAGGCTGGTGCCAGTGGCACCATTTCAGGCACTGTTCTACCAACTTACCATTAACAGCGGATGTAGCATTAAAGGAACGGACGAAAAGGCGGAGATAGGTCTTTGAAACCTTCCTTGGATCTAACATTTCTCTACAATCATCCCTGTATCCTTCTCATCCTGTAGCTGTGGATCATTGCTGTTGCACCAAATCTCAATCGTATATTTATCATATTTCTTCGGACACACCGATCATTTCAATATGAACACATACCAGTATTTCTTGACCACAGGACTAATATTCTTGTATCACACAATCACTAACGATAATCTCCTTCAATTTTTTCACTATCTTCTTTCAAATTTTAAATTTTACTTCACTTCAAAATAATTCAGTCTTCCATTTAAATTCTTTCAAACATTTGCGTCAATCATAGCAATAATGAGAATGATATAATTAAGTTGGAAAAATTGTTAAGACAGTTCATTATAATTTGCTAGAAGCACTTTTATATCTTAAAGGTTTTTATTTTGTAACTGATTATTGCTTTAACTAATCCATCGCTCCGTGTTAATATATATATTGAAAAGAGCCAACCTTACAGTTATGATCGCATTCTTCAATTCGAAGACCGGTATGAACTCGTTCGTATGAATCTAAATATAAGAGTTATTGAGTTGTCCATTTCTATTACGATATTCGATGAGTTAGAAATTCTTAACGATTAAGTAAACTTTCAGAAGCAATGAAGATATTCGAAGATTTGAGGAATAATTGTTGAAGAGAATGCACTTAAACATCTACGTTGCAGCGCTTATCAATAAAAGCGCCATGGCACTCCAACTTCTCTCATCTTTTTCATTGATTGATTGTTCTGAATTATTGCTAAATATTATTTAAGGATTTCGATATGACAATATTTTTGAACATCTAAAACATAAGAGAAATTGGATATTTTTCATCTTTAATTTGAATAATTATTACACTGAGAAACGCTAAAGCATTTCAACCGATATTCATTTTAATTTTCTAAATTTTACAAATAATTGCAAATCAGAAGAAATTAAAAAGAAAAAAATACTGTTATTCTAAATGATTTAAAAATATTTTCATTTTGATATTCTTCCTTCAAGTGTTTCAGTAGAGACGAGGAACTATCCTATCCTATTTAAATATGCAAAATAAGTGCCAATTTAGAGGCTTAAACTCTAGGATTTTGCTTTATTTTTCCTCTCTTTACCTTATTAGAACCCTTCCTTTCCAGATATTTGTTCCATTTTTTTTTTGTTTTTCCTTCAGATCATTGTTTGTTAACCAACTGAACTTGACAAAATTGCATAGAATTTTATCGTTGAAGATATTTTTTTCTTTTTTTGCACCAATTCTTTGCCTTGTAAAATGAAATGGTCGAAATTTATTTCAGAAACTCACTGCGTTGCTGCTGCATCGCGCCTGAAACGCTGTTCTTTCCGTTGCACGTCTGATATTATTTCCAATGATTATGCAAATACATCAAAAATATTGATAGCGGTAAAAAGCAATAAATATCCCGTTGAATTCGTCCAATTTCTCGTCTATTTTGATGTTTTGTTGCTAAAAAGCATTCTTGTCTGAATCCTTCATGTTGCATCAGCACCAACCTACGCAACCGTCAACAAATCAATCTGCGCTACAATCTTCTAAGTCAATTCGACGAAAACGATTACAGGTATAACATCTATTTGTTTAAAATTTGAATTTGTTTCCATTTGCAATACAAGTTTAACGATATTATTTGGTGTCAATATTAGAGATATTAATATGAAAATAAAGAAACTAAAATTCAGGAAAAAAGTAAATATAAACCTCACTGCTTCATATCAAATTGATTCCATAATTCTGATGTAAATCGTGAATTTATGACAAAATGCTTAACACATATTTGTTTATTGTGTTTTACGATTTCCTTCTCTCTAAATTGGCGCTTCGTATGAGAGAAAATTTTTTACTTACTAATGAAAGTCATTTCTAGCATTTTTCCGAAAAGTTAATATTGTGGTTTATACAAAATGTTTAGGAAGAAGTTTCAAAATTTCTGTATTTTCGCACGGGAGGTCAAAAGTACACGAATAATTCAATGACCTTGGTAAAGGTTACTGCGAGATAAAAATTTAACAAATAAACACAGTTTAAATAAAATACTGGTTTAATTTTTATGTCCTCAAGATTTTCACATTAATCTAAAACAGTTCAGTTGATTGATTAATTTTTTCACAGCACCATATGCTCTATTCACTAATTACCCATAATAATTTGCTTTGTTGCTTTTCTTCTACAAATTCAAACTGCTATTTTCTTCTTTTGTTCCTCAAAAATGCAAATCCACAGGTTGCCAACCTATTACTCAGGCCTTTTTCATCCATTCTGTTTTGCAGACTTATTTTCCTGTCCCTATAAGTTATCCTCCCATTCATCAAATCTTACAAATTTGCAAACTTTCTCTTGCAACAGATAATCAATTCATTCAAAAAAAGGCTCTTATCAGTGAATAAAATAATGCTGAAAATAAATCTGCCTTTCTTTGATAACTTGTATTAATTAGTTGCATCTAATGTTTAGTTCAAAGATTCTGCTTTTATCATCCAGAAGGGATTATCAAAAATGATAAATTATTTTTCGTTTTACAGCATTACATTCGTCAAATTAAGCGTTTGATTACGGAACGAATACCACCAGTGAATCCGGAAAAAAAGCTGGGAACTATTGATGTACTCGATAAAGCCGTTGAATTGGTATCTTTTTTTCCTAATTTTATGATCCATCCTTCAATCTATTCATGATTTCACATCCATTCAGTTTCATTTTTTTTACTCTTTAGTACTTCTTTAACAACTTCGATCTTGTTTGATTTTTTTAACATTAAAATGAAGTGCAGCTTATTTCGCCCCGTTAATTTGCTCACTTCTCTCTCCTAATTATGATTTCCTTCAATTGTTCAACTTGTTGTCTAAAATGATACATTTTGAAACTATGTAAACGTTGACCGAATTTATTTACAATAACTAGTAACCGTCAAAATCCATTTTTTGCACCCATTGCACTTCCACTTAACAAAATGACCGAAATTTCAAAACCATTAGGAGGATATTAATATTACATTTGTTCATTTTACTACTACAAAAATCTCCTTAATTAACAAGTAATCATGCGAGCTAAAATGTAATGCAAGTCATACCTGCGCTTTCTTTATTCGAAATTATCAGTTTGATTTTGTAAAATTTCCTTTAAGCTACGAACGATACCAGTATATGATGAGGTCACTAATCCTGGCCTTAGTCCACCTCATTCTTGGCCTGATTCACCGCTCGATAGTATAACACATATTAGCGACGATACCTGGACACCAAATATTGATTTCGCTCGCCGGCATATTTTTTCTGCAAATATTAGTTTACCGGATGGTCGAATTACTGACTTCCAGAAAGTGACTTCAAAGGAAATCAACAATGTTGATGTCTGTTTATTTCGAGCAGTATTTTTAATCAGAATTTTTATTTAACAAAGTTCTAAATATTCTTTAATTATTTTTCCGTTTATTTCTGCAGATTCCTGCGACTTTTTGCCAAAAAAAATGTTGGCAAAAAAATTTTAACAAAATCCATTCTTTTGATAAGGAAAATTATGAAGAAATAGTTAACCAGAACATTTTAACTATACAATTCTGAGTTGATCAAATGTTTCAACTTCTGATACTTAGAGGAAATGAATGGCAAATGACTTAGCATCTTTAACTTTGTAATTGAATGAATTCCAAATTGTAGGGTTTGCAGTGCGGGGCTTCTTTTCTCGATTTGATAGCATTTTATGGACGACAGGCATTGCTTGCTGGTGCATATAATGATTCGATGGAGAAGAAAAAAATTCTTACACGTCTTGTCGGCGGGTAATTTTTCTTCAATTTTTATTATAAATGACGCAACATAGTTTCTTTTCTTCGATGATAAAAGGATTTCCCAACACAATATCATAACGATTTATATTTCCGGCCAAAACGTACAACTTTCCCGTTCAAGCGCTCTTCTGATCAAGCTTAGAAATTATTCCAATATATCGTGTTACAGAAATTTAAATTTATTCAACCGTAGGCGAAATAAATCGTTATAGTAACAGTATCCGTATCTTTCTACCTTTGAAATAAATAATTGAATTTCTATTTAAAATGGAAAACCATTTGTTGAAAAAATGACATAGATTGGTAATACTTTAGTGTTGATATTAATATCCTTAGCAGCAAGTTGATAATGATAATGATATTGTTAGCATCGTGATTAGTGTACTGCTCAAATCATACAGTTTGAAGTGAAGTTGATCAAAATTTTGGAATGGTTTTAATTTTCAAATAAGAGCGATGATATTGAATGGAAATACGACAGTTGGAAGAGAAAAGATAACATTTAATTTATTACTGGTCAAGAGGATACATTTTTTGAAGTTCAATTTTGAAACATTTAAGTAGGAAAAAATTAATTGCCATCAAATAATAGTAATAGTATGCTTGTGAAATCTCAAAAGAGAAAAAAATTTGAAAAATAACTATTAGGAAGAGGACGAGAATATACTGTTATGTAATGTTCATGCAGATGGCTGTTTGTTTCGTGGTGTTAGTGTAAGCTGATAAAGGGTGATAATGATAAAATTACAATAAAGTTGGAATGATAAGAACTGCGAAAAGAGAGTGCATCAAACGGAAATGAGAGCACGCGCCTGGTTCTACCAGTATCCGACGATCACCAACTATCACCCCCAATCATCCGCCATCTCGGAGTTCATCCGTTCCCTGACACTCCCGTCTCTCCACATTACACAATATCTAGTGACAGGTACTGTCTGTCAATCCAACCCATGAATGATGAACACTGTGTTCAAAAATTACATTTTGAACCTTTTTCTACAATTTATATTTATGTTTGAAAAAGTGAAATAGAATTTTTAATTTAGCTAAGAAATAAAGATAAATTTTGTGGAATAATTATAGCATTAAAAAAAATTAAGACATAATAAAAAACAAAATGAAAACGTCAAGCAATTTGATGTTTGGAAAGAGTATGAATTAAGGTAAGAATTAAAAAAAAATTTTTTGACATGAAACTTATTGGTAATATCATTTCATTAATTATCCTATTATAAATTCATAGAAAAAAGATGAAATAGTGAATAAGGTAGAAGAAAAATCATATGTTAGTGAAAAATACACTTGAGAATGTTGTATTGTGATCGATTCAATAAATTGGATTTGTAATGTTGAATAAATGAAATTTTAGCGGTGGAGCTTTTGAATTGTTATGTGAATACAAACGTTCCGGTCATGGAAGCACCGTATCAACGCATATTCATGCACTCGAATTGGAAAGCGCATTTGGTCCATTGAAAACTTTGAGCACATTTGTGTTCTTCACCCGTCATACAAGTTCCTGCTCACTTACCTATCTCGATTCATCGTCAGTATTTTCTTTCTTTTTATCTTTTGAATCTAATTTTCAAGTAACATTATCAAAGGCTAATGATATTTGCAGAGCAGCCAACTACATTGGTTATTTGCCGGGTGAAGTGATAAATCAATCAATATTATATCTTTTACATCCATATGATATGGCGCAAATCAAACAAATACATGCAACTTGTAAGTTTAATCCTACGAAAACGCTTTCGATTGTCAAAGTATAATTTGAAGGAAATTAAAGTAAATTAATTACAACATCGTTTCATATATCGTTTCACGTATATTCATTATTCATTTAGTGAGCGTACGACGAAGCGAAATAGTACGACAACGTCGTTTGAGATGGATTGCATTTAACGGTAGCATAATTCATACGAATTCGGAATGGTTTGCATTTTGGAATCCGTGGACTCATAAAGTGGATAACGTAATTGGACGACATATGCTAAATGAACAACCGATAGGAAACGCGGATGTGTTAGCTGAACCGTGTGCGCCACGTATTATTACTCCATTGGATGAGCTAACTGTGCGCAATATTGAATCCGAAATTACTGCTGTACTAAATAAGGTTGGCTTATTGCAATTTTGAGATATAATAAATTTAATTCCACTATTGCATAAAAATGCATAAATTCTTCATTGAATTCATTTTTCTAGTGTATTATTTTCGAAAAGTGTTGAAATTTTGCTTTTTCATTTGCACGCTAATTAATGATAAAATCAAATTTGAAGCATACAAAGAAGGCTTATTTAGTCGCACTTAGCTTTAGGAACCGAGGGTACTGATAAGAGATGAAAGGTATAAAGCAGCTCCAATTGCACATCAAAAGAACTCAAATTCTATTGAGCTGAAATCGCCTGGTACACATCTTGGCACTTACATTGATAATCTTATCGAAACATTCGTAATAAATGCTGGAAATTCCGGGAATAAGGTTATTTTTGTATTTTACTGTTCAGCATAAATTGCTTGATTTCGTTAATCCTAAAATCAAACAGTGACAATAAAATCTTTTGAAAAATGAATTTATAATTACTTTTGTTAAAGTACTTGGCACCCACTGTTGATACTTGTCGATCTACAATTAATCCAACTGATCTTTCCTCAACAAATTGTTGTAACGCTATACCTCTGACATATAATCAGGTATCAATTGTATAATCTGTTTCACTTATTTACTAAGTTAAAAAAATGAAAAATTTTTATTGCACAACTTAACAAAAATTGATATAATCCTACTGTTGGAAGATTTTTTGTAACATATCACTTCAAGAATAAGCTATCAAAAAATAAGTGAAATTTGATAAGTAAGTAAAAATTTGAAATTTCGGTTACAGATTAATTGTTTGGAAAATGTACATCGACTATTGAAAAGTCAGCAACATACGGGAGATACAGCTGCAGCATCGATAATCATCGAGCCAATACCGGAAAACATTTCATCATCGAAATTACCACAATCAGAAGATTCAAAAAGTCCGCTCCCCATACCAGAACAGGAAGATGACAATAGGTAATATTATCGAAATTCAACGTGAAATTCTCTTAACAGTAAAAATAAAATTACACAATTCAATCAGATTATCAACATATATCGAAATACAGAGTTCCTACGGATACAGCAACATCAGCTATGCCTCTCACGAGAGAACTTCTGCAACAACATACGCGAAAATGGGAACAAGAGTATCGCGATACGTGGAAAAAACGATTCGGTCTGAAAAGAACCATTCAGGTTCATTCTTACATTATTAACAAGAAGATATCTACATTTTAGCCAACTACATTTTACTATTTTCTTCCTCATGTCCTACAAAAAAAAAGATATTTGCTTTTTTAATCGAAATTTCGAAACTTCCTGGAAGTGAACGATTTTCTAAATATAGCAAACGGAATTTGTTGTGCCGGTATCTTCGAAAATTTTCCGCGAAAGCAGTCACAGGTCAGCAGTAGCTCAGAGTGCGTCAGCTACGCTACCTTCACCGAGATCTGATTGTTGGCCACCAATGAATAAGGATGATTATTATAGAAGTCTTGGACCAAATCCTCCTCCACCACCAGGCAAAAATTTTCAAGTAAGCCGATTGCAAATATAGTTACCACTTCCTTAGCATTGCAGTACAATTTTCATCATTCATGTTGAAAGTAAATATTTTCTTACCCTTTTTAGAATTTTAAAAGTATCGTTTTAGTATTAGGTTACAAATTTAAATATAGGAATTAATAGATGTAATCTTCATACTTATTTAATCTTAGATTTAATCTTAGCAGTTCTTCTTAAGAAGCTGCCGATATATCCATTTTAATTGTATTATACTCTATTTTAAAAATATTTTCAGATTACATCAGTACCATTACCACCTCCGCTACCGATTGAGGAACGTCGATCTGCATTTGTTCCACTTCCCAGCACTGCGGCATCTTCATTTCCCAACACTCCAAAATTATCCCGTGATTTATCACAACCTATCAACTTATCATTGACTGGAAATATGCAACAAACGCATTCAGCATTAGGAATAACAACGATAACATCGGCTACCATTGAACGACATTTTCCTAGACAGCAGCAACAACCGCAGCATCAATACCGTTCCGTTATAAAAACTGCGCTGACATCCGCACCACAACAACAACAACGGCAGTATCTTGAATCCAATAGATTGGCATTATCATCCTCAACAGGGTCGACACAAAGTTATTTGTCTACTGGAAATCTGATGGATACAAGTGTGGAATGGTGTCCAACTACAGAATACAGTAACGGAGCATCTGAAGAAGCCGGAGAAACCTGTACAGCACGGCTCATAAATATGGCGCAACGGGCGCAGCAGCAGTTAGAGCAGAAGCGATTTCATTCCCCGCTTTCTACTTCACCAGTTAAGGAAGCTACTGATGCATTAATGTTGCTACAGGAAACGACTTCATTTTAACTATTTTTTCTAGCTAAATTTAATTTTGAATTTTAAAAATCAAAAATCTCTCCAAAGTATTTAAAGCTTCATTTATTTCCAATAATTGATATTTTCGCCAATGCTCGATTGTTTTCATTCGTTATGCAATTCATTTTCAGTGAACGAGAATAAGTAACTTTAATGAGATATTTGAATTTTGAGTATTTCGAGTATATTTCAATTTTGTTAGGATTAATTTTTCGATAAGGGATTAATTTTTCAATAGAAGGATCTATGCCCATTTGATATAAATCTTAAAAGTACAGGTAATTGCCGTAAAGCTTACGAAATTGTTTTGCTTTTTTGCTATTTCAAGATGTTAGACTCTTTGTTAATCAGCAATTGTTATAGGGATTATCAATTTATCTTTCATTTTCTTTCTTCTAACTTAAACTACTAAGACAACTGAGCGTAAAATATAAGATTGCACTGAGAAAAGTAATAATCAAATATCGTAAGCTAAACTAATTTGGACTGAATGAAGTATTCATGCTAGTTCATTCATTCATAAATATCGAACAATTCGGCTTTTATTTTTTTCATTACAAATTTACTTACATTTAAAATGCGCATAATTCTCACACCGACGTCTTTCTGGTTCTGGAACGATTGTGTGTTTATTGTCCGTTTATTTCTTTTTTTATTTTCTCCTATAATTTGAAATATCGTTCCAGTTTTTCATTTCTCCCTCTCCCTCTTACTCTTTTCTTCCTCTCCCTCTTAAGAATGTTATTCTATAGCTGTATATATGATGTGGTTGCATTGAAAGTTATGAAAGTTGAGAAGAAATGTGATCTTTCAAAGATACGAAACAGCATATCTTTAACATGGACTTAATTAATTACTTTCTCTTTCACTTTAAAGAAGATGGTTTTTCCAAAAAATTCGAGACTTCGCTTTTTTCTTCCTCTCATTTTCAATCATAAAAATCCTCTATACTTCGTGGTACATATGTATGTATATGTGTGTGCGTGTATGTGTGTGTATGTTTTGCCTCATTTATTACTGTGATTTTTACAGTTCTCAATTTTTCCTATTCTTTGATATTGTAAACAACAATTGAACGCCAACGAAATGCAAGTATTGTTTGCCTCAAATTTACTTTATGTGCTGCCAGTACTAAGTTCTTTCATATTTTCTATTGTCAACGCTCTTTGTTGAGTATCCAAGTGATTTTTGATTATATTAAGCGAATACAAGTCTTTTTAACACTTTGAAAAATCTTTCAAGAAATTATAGTAAGTGCAGAGAAATTATAGTAAGTACATGATCGCTTTTACTTGATACATTAAATTATCGATTATGAACACAGAGTGATTTGTTTCGACCTCATATTAGGTGATGTCTAAATATGGAGNTAAATATGGAGTGTAAGTACAAAGATAATACTAATGTTTATTTGATCGTAAAATTATCACATAATAGGATGAAATTTATAAAGCTAAGAAATAAAACATTGAAGGTTTTTAAGTAGCAGACATGTGAAAGGAACAAAAAAAAATGAAAAGTTTTCTCTTATTTGTTAACATATTGCAAACCGAAAGAAGTAAATTAAAATTAAAAGTAGAGCCATGATTTTATTTGTCGTCTCCTTCCATCAATTTCGAAAATATAAGACGACAAAGTTATTACAGTTCCCGAATACCAGTTTGAATTAAGAGGTATCATCATCTCAGCAACTCCTGTTGGTTTATGTTAATAAAAAAGAAGGAATAGAAAGTGACTAAATTTAAAAACTAAATGAAGTTAAAACAACTAAAATAAATTTGGCAATATAACCAAAATAGAAGGCACAACACAATTAATTTATAGTCTACAGCTAATAATTTAGTTCATATACGAAAATAATAACCTAAAAAAAATAACCTACAAAAATAATACATAAAATCATGCATTATCTCTTCGGTGCAGTTCGACCACGACTTTTCATCGATGCACCACCACCACCACCACCGCGTTTTTGTCGCATATTATGTCGCCGCTGAATAGGCTGTTCTGCACTATATGCATGATTTAAATTCACCAGATGTGAAATGGATTTATCACAAAAAACACAACCTTTATACGTGGTTTTCTCCTCTGGCAAAGAAAACTTATCCTGTAAATGATCTGGATCAAAAGCATAATAAAAGCAGAAATCACTTAAAAAAATAGTTTTTGATATAAATCTATGCGTTGGGAAAAAAAACCAATTATTCATTCAGAATAATATATAGCCACAATTTTTGAATTAAAGTTTCTCAAAAGAAATTTTTTTCCTGACTTCGATTTAACAGAAAACTTCAATACTTTGACAGCACTCATACATGAGGTTACCTTGTATTCAGCAAAAATTAGCTGTGCACCGCAATCTTCACACTGTTTAGTAAGAACTTTAACGCGTAATGCGCCTTCAAAAACAGCTACAACAGCAGAGCACTTGTTGCAAGAAATACGCCACTTTGGCGCAGATTGCGGATCCAATACCAATACTCCATTATCAGCACCACACTGACGTGGGCACTGTACCACTCCCAGCGTTCTAGAAATCAGAAGCTATAAAAAGTTTTGCCACATATTAGGAATTTTTCATTTATCAATTAACTTTTAGAACTTCAATTTTTACATATAACTTGAGCCCACAAGCTGCAGTAAGCGCAATATTACCCCTTACTCAGCATTATGCAGCTAACAGATAACTATTGTGCGACTTACAGGAATGAATGAGGACACACAGGATTAGAACATTCATGACATCCTGAACCTTTTCTCATCCCTTCAAATGGCGGATTGTTATAACAATAAGGACAAAGCGCATATGACATCGACAATTTTCCTACAAATACAATAAGTATTCTATAAGCGAATATTGTTTTTCCTCTATTTTTAAATTCTACCTACTCATTTTTTATCAATCTCTATATGTAAAACTTTTTAATTAAATATTAATCATTCCTTAAGTTTTCAATTTTCTTTCAATGTTCTAATAAAGATCTGAAACAGAAATGGATTCATCATTCTTAAAATCAATTATTTAGAAAATTCACTCAACTTTCCAAAAAAGGAAAAATAGTTTACCTCCAGGACCTTGCCAGTAAACCAAATCAAAATCATCCAAAGGGCACTTGTTTTCACCATGAAGTCTCAATAACCCATCTTTGGCAGAAGGCAACGAATATGTGTCCTAAAAGCATGTAGGAAATGATACTGCTTTCATTAATTCCCACTAACAATTTGGACAATGCAAACGTTGTATTTAACACTTTTGCTTAATTAACACTTTTTAACACTTCTGCTTAATTACTTAATTAACACTTTCGCTTAATTACCTGACAATTTGGACAATGCAAACGTTGTGGTTTGGAAGCGACAAGTTTCATAAAACGTCGACATTTTCCACATCTGCTAAATGGTTTTCCCGAAGCAGCAAGTGATGTGAACGAATCTGAACAAATATATAAAGAATTTTGAATTATATGTTTTGCAATTTGCATTACGAATACCAAAGAAAGAACAGTAACCCTTCATTTTTTGAACATAAACTATACTGTATTGGAAATTTTGGATTCGCTGTTTTTTGCAAACGATGACAAACGTTTTACCTTCAAAAAGAGAATCAACAAGACCAATATTTTCTGCAAAATAAATAAATTTAAGGCGGAAATTTTCAAGCACATGATTCTTGACCTGTAAATATGCATATGGTGAACAAATTCAGCAGGAAAGTTTTATTAATTTTTTCATTTAAGACTGAGTAACTGTAACAGGGAGTTCAACACTGCTTCTTTATTATAGTTTGGAAGACAGATTTCAATGCACTGAAATCTAAATTCTGGGGCATTTTCAAGAGAAATTTTTAAAGCAAACATTGTTTCAAGCAGAATATCGGAACGTTATTCCATGTTTTAAATGATTAAATAACTAAATCAAAACACCTACGATAGAAAGAAATTAAGAGTGACGTGAAGCATTTCACTGAATACTCAGCAACAGAGAAAATATTGCATGTTACGTATTTTCTATCGATTATTAAGCTGACGTACACGAGACACTGAATCTTGTCAAAATAATACACTAAGTGATGAAAGTGAATGTAATCCTTTTTTGTATCTCCTTGCTACGAAGCGCTGTTTCGACGTTCTGAACTTGTCATTGGTTCCAAAATGATGATATTATAAATTAATTACTTACAGAACAGAAATCGGCATATCCCTTAGCAATTAGATTTAATTGGTTTTCAACCTCGGATCGCATTGTAGGTAATACCAGTTCAGCATCTATTTTCCAATAGCCGTGCACAAGTGCAATGCCTAATTTTGTCGGCTTCAAGCGTCTTCTGGACTCAACCTAAGAACTGGCAAGTAATTTGAAATTTGAGCTTGAATGAAATATTATTTTCAATGTGCACTGAAAATTACTCAGTTCTTGTTATTCAGTGAAATCCAGAAAATTATTCAGTGAAAATTATTCAGTGCACATTGAAAAGTTCATAAAAAATATAAAATCTTACATCAAATTAATAAAACTAACTGTAACATAATTCCGCTGACAAATATTACTAATGTGAACGGGAATAGAAGCATCCGTCCCGATACCGTGCTTTTCCATTAATGAGATCAATTCTGATTCAGTGAGGTAGTCTGGTGGAGTCGTCGCATACTCACATATTTTTCCATCTCTTAAATCGTCCTCTTCGAGAGCAAAATATTACGAAATTAACTCTATCTCTACACCATAACATTAAACAATCTTTCTTTTTTCCTAAGAGTATGAAAAGTTAATTTCCTCTGTTGTGATTTTCAGTATCTTCAAAAGTCAAGCAAAAATGTTCAACTATATCAATTAAGGGATACATATTATTAAAAACAAAACTTACTTTAAACTGACTTTTGTGCCTTTGACTATATTATAATTTTGTGCGTTTTCTTCAATTTTCTGCCATACCATGATTTCCGTGTAACCCAAATTGATAACAAACTTACTTTTTGCAATAAATATTTCATTTGCGACATCGATTCTTGAACAATTATGCTATGAATCTTTAGAAATAATAGAGCAGTCCGACAAACAAACTAAGAGGTAAAAAATCAAAAGTACAAAAATCAGTAAAACTGTGAATATAAACTATAAAATGTAAATCTTACTTTACACTCGTGACAAGATATGTGCAAGGTTTCATTAGTGTTGCAATAAAATGCTGTGTGACATAGTCGTATACTTTTAGAGCATCTAAACAGGTCTAACAATTTGTAAAGAAATTTTAATATGATACGATTTAATAAATTTCACATCCTTTAATGTCTTAATTTTTGATCGTTAACACTGGATTTACAGACTGCTTGAAAAGACTTGCAGATAGCAATTTTAAGAAATTAAAAAGTCAACCTCCAGAGAGTGAGCCGTCATTGGCACGCAAAGGTGATATCGGCGGATGGTCACCTTTATCTTCACCATTACGAGGTTTTGTTATTCCTTTTGATAATAACTAAATTAAAAAATCATGATGCAAAACTTTGAATGGAAATAATAAAAAATTCCTTATTTATATGGCCAACTATTCTACAAATAAGCAATGTAAAATGAATGACTTCTTTGACAATATCTTTCCAGCGGCTGTCGTTTTGCTGATGCCGCAAAGCCTCAAAAAAATCAAAATTTGAAGGATATGCTGTAGTTTCCGTGCGTGGATAACTTATAAAACCCTGAAAAACAAAAAATAAGTTGCAATGAGTACTGCAATACTACTGACTTTTGGTACAAAAAATGGAAAAAATTTTGAAAACTGATAATTCGAATATGAAAAGACCAATCCCTATTCTAAAAAATTCCCATTTCTTTCTACTAATTAAAAAAACACAAAATCAAGGGAAATCTCCGCCAATCATAAAACTAGAAATGAATTCATCTTCCTTTAAATAAATTTAAGCATACAACAAAAACAAAGAAATAGAGGTTATTTTTTTAAAAGAAAGGAAAAATACGCACTCTGGTGTAAAGATATTCTGCAGTGCTCATAGTCTGTGCAGGACTAAGACCTAGGCTACTGCTAGCAACCCTCAATAATTCAACGGTATTGAGCGCCTGTGGACGCTCTTTTTGGAACTCCGAACTGCTCACATCAACAATAACACCTTGGTTCTGCTTCTGAAAATCCGAACAGCACATGAATCACAATATGGAAACTGATAAAATCCTCTAATATTCGAATTATGTACCATATAAGAATACGAACTAAATAAGCAAAAAACACCAGCATTAAAAGAAATAAAAATGAACGAACTTTGATTCGATCAAAGAACAGTTGAGAGACTTCTTTATCAAATATACGGCCCCTGGCATGAGTTGGTTTTAATTTCTCACCTGCTGAAGTTTCGAAGATTGTCTAAAACTTTCGCAACTATCAAAAACCTGCTAACTATCTGAACTAAACAGCTTGCAGTATGAACTCAAAAACTTAGAAAAAAATGCACCTCTAAAACCCAGTATTGCTCTGGCTTAAACTGTGTAATCAAATCATGACGAGTCACACAGAATCCTAATGTTGGTGTCTGACATGGACCAAATGATATGGTTGTACTATCGAGATCACCATATTTACCCTGAAACATGTAAAAAATTGTAGAACAAAGTGCTAATGTTTATAGGTGCTTATTCTGCTACGAAGTGATCCTGTGCCTTAATTACGTCATAAGGAAAATAACTTATAAAGTGAAAATATTAAGAGTTTGCTAAAGATTCTTTAACATACGCAGTAAACTGATTAAAAAACCAGAATGATTAAAGGTAATATCGCACAACGATAACCTGAAAATATCGCGTTTGAAAGCGCGTAAAAGCACAACCAATCCTCAAATCAAGCTCTTGACGTGCATCAACGGATAAACTTTCATTGATGTTAGGACGACCAAGATTCCTCATTGCCGACTTAATATCTTTTGCAGTGATGGCTGAGAAATGTGCCCTGAAAATAGCTTCCTTCATCTTGTAAAAGGTTTTTTTAGAATTATTCACTTTATAGTACAAACTGGAAAACATTAAAACAAAAACCATAAAATACATATATGAAATTCCCATTTTTAAAGAAAATCAAAAAATTTACCTATAAATATTTCGCATAATATCTCCCGTTCTTGGCTTTTTTATTGAATTTTTGACCGCTTCAATCACCTATCAATTTAAATAAATAATGAATCTTTATTTTAGTTGAAAAAAAAATTTTTTTACTAAATATAAATAAAAAAATATAGATACAGTGTAACATTACTAGCAATTATAGGAATAAATTTGCTTAACACTTTTTTCCGAAGGGAAAACTTTTTAGTATTAATTCTAAATACCTAGATATCCCTCTATAAGAACTAAAAAAGAAGTCAATAAGACACCTTTTATTCAGTTTGGTTTCAAATGGTCTAAGTGATACGGACATGATGTAAGGCTATTCCGCTAGTCCGGAACAAGTTTGAGCACTAGAAGTTAACACTCAACTTCTGAAAAGTTGCAAAAAAAAACACCAACTTCAAAGCAAATATTTTCTCCTTCTTTATCGCAATCCAACCATAAGACCAGAAAATCACAGCCTTTTGCTTCCGAAGCGAGATACTGTAAACATCTTTGTTAGAAGGAGAAAAAACATCAAAAGCTTTTATTTCATATTAAACAGTATTATTAATTCTGAAAACTTCTAATATATATGTTCAGGAAGTGACGCCTGTTATACTCGTTAAAATAAGAGGACAGTCTAAAAAGAAAACAAAAAAGCTTGACTTAAATAGAGCCCGATATTACAGGCATTTTTCAAAGAACATTTTAGATAACAATGGCTAACAACAGTGAAAACACATTTCGAGAAAACTAAGTCACCTCATTCATTCGCATTTTTGGATTTGCTTCCCTTTTCGTGGTTGATGATGAAAACAACTGAACTGGGTCGACTTTTTCCCAATTATTCATTTTTGACGGAAAATCTAGAGACATTATATGACCACAAGTACTTGTTACCTAAAGTACAATTCAAATATTTCTGCTTTAAATTCAATTACAAGAAGAACAAGGAGTTAGTATCTTCTTATAAAGTACTGGTATAAAATAATAAGCACTTCCATATGAATATAGTTGATAAGGATCAAAAATATTAAAGTATTATATATTAATTGATCATCCTTATTTTAATTAATGTTTTTCACATTTTTTTACCTTAAACATAGCTGATTGTCCTTGGAACTGCCCACGGTATTCCGAGACCGAGCAAATATTGTTCCAACCTTTAAAAATAAAGAAAAATATTTTTGTTTTAAAAAATAAGAATGTAAGGAAATTTGGAAACAACAAATAACAATGAAAAACGATAAATGAAAGCCACATAATGTCCCCACGTACACAAATTTCTATGTTAAAACAGGTCTGGTAATGAAGTACTGGAAATGATATAAGAACAGTATGAATAAATTTAAAAAAGGAAGAATTTTTACCTTTTCTTTTTTCAACTTTCCCATCGGCAAGAATTTTTGCAATGGACTCAGCAAGCATTGGTTTTTCAGCCACCATTATTACCGTCAGCGGAACCATATCCACCCCTATTTTTTCCTCCTCCGCCACTCTCCTTTCCTTGCCTGTACATACTTTGGTTATCATTTTCTTAAAAATTAGAAGTATTCCGTTTCTTGATGAACTACTGAACATAATACAACAATTAACGAGTACTCATGTGCTTGCTCTATTCTAGCAAAAGTTGCACACTTTAGCTGCCTAGTCTTAAAACTTAAGGACCTAATAATGACTTTTAAAATGCTTCAGCGATTAAGCGCTCGTTGTACTCCAAAATTCCAGATAATAAGAATTTATTGGCAATACAATTGAGAAATAACTTAGATTGCAACAAATTAAAAGAAAATAACAATATGTTTAACAGAAAATTGGTGAAAAAGTAGTTTATTTACAAAACTGAGCATCCCCATAATTGTTTTAAGCGATGAGAACACTACGGTGAACTCATAATTCTCATGAAATAACTATAATGAACATATATTTATACTTTCTATTATAAAAGATATTTAAGGCAGCATAAATATGTTCAGTATATCAATACGCATAATAAAAAAACAATTTCTAAAACAACGCATACTCAATAATAAGTGCATGAATAATTATGAAGAAGCAAAAAACAATAGAGGATCTCTTTCACCTTGGTGGCCATTGCATATCAACACCTTCAACATCCAATTCAAGTATATCAACTTCACCGCATTCAACTCCCAATAAATCTGTCAATGATGGCCGAGTTCGACCAAAATCACCATGCACAAATTCTTTTACATAAGTTCCTGCTTGCGTCTCCATTCTAAAACAGTAAAATCACTATTTGGAACTTCCAAGAATTCAATTTGTAAAAGTAGGAAGCACTTAAAAAAAAATTTTATTCAAAAACTATTGTCATATCAACTACAGCAATTTTATTATAAATTCTAGCATAATAAGAAATGCATAGGATTGTTCAGTAAGTCTAAATAAAAAATCTAATTCTGAGAACCTGTTACTTTCAATCAGTATAATATTCCAACAAATAAATATAACTGTGGAAGTGCGTCTATATATAGTCCTATATGAAATTAAGCAAAATAGTAATTTCTACGCGTTATGAATTAAAAATGAAATCCTTCCCCCAAAATACACTGATAGGCATGACGCACACTAAACTAGATGGAACTTCAACTTTTTAAATGTAGGCGTTTCAACTATTGTGTCACATTCCGCAATTAAAAATACGATTTAAACTAAGCAACGTAAGCATTAATGCTACCTGACTAGGAAATGATAATCATCCAATTTCAGCGCTGCTATGAAAAATATCATCCTTCGTCTTTCGAGTAAAGGACGACGTTTCAGCACACGCACAGGAGTTTTTTGAATCACTTCAATTGGTGCTTTATGACGAAGTTCTTTTAGTAAAAGATCATTAAGTTTCCGTGTAGCGTAACAATAACCAGTGTATAATTTCCGCCTTTCTAAAACATAAAGATTATAACAATGATTATGGAAATGTATAATTTAAATTAGAGTCTATAATATATTTTTTCCAAATTAATTTTCCCAAGCACTATCAATACACAAAGTTAGTTGAAATGGCTTACCGTCTTGACCATTTTTTATCAACGATGCTTGCTCTGACGTGATCTGTTTCAAACCGGATAGAACTTTAACATCAAGATTCTTATTAATACTATTTTCCAAACGTTTTAATGTGGTCTTTATGTTATACTTTTGGAACGAAAAAATCTTCTTGGGATTGATCAGCTGAAAATAATTGACATTTTAGCAATTTATATTTCACTTTATTTATCTTAAAATTTTTCAGAGAAAAAAACTATTACTTGCAAAACAAATGGCCTTCCGTTACCAAGCATTCGTACATCAATATCTTCTCGTCCTGAAGCTACAAAACGTGCAACATCGCATCCAGTTTCCGTGACAAATGGTGTCCCAACTTTCTCTGATACCTAAAAAATTCAATTTTCTATCAAAATCTTCGACATTTTTATATTTCCTTTAATATTTTACGTGCAAGCTTACCGAATGTCCAATAATTTTCCTCGTATCCGTTGAAGCGGACCACGGACTTTGAGACATGTTTCTAGAAAATTTGCAATAGCGTCCGGCTATGAACAGTGGACTATGTTCAAATGAAACGGTGTAATGACATGATGTCGACGGTGACGTCATATTGTAAATTCTGCAATTTTTTGAGAAATCAGCAAGTGAACAATATAAGAAAAATGAATTAGGAAAACGAAGATTATACGATATCCTAAACTAGCAATAATAGGATAGAAATAATTCTCGAATTCAAATGCATACGTCTGAGGTTACAATTACCATAAATCTTTTTCCTATGGATCTGTATGAAGCTTAATATTATCACACAGCACTTAGTTCAAATGAGTTAGTCTTTACTAAGTTATGACTTAGAGAAACTAGTGCTTGAAATTCATTAATTCATCAAACAAGTTAATGAGAACTTTCTGTAAAATCTCTCAAAACTCTTTCTGCATCTTTTTCAAAATCTATATTGAAGAAATATTACATTGCTACTCAAAGAAACATGAATAGCTAAAGGTCGTACAATGCATGTTCTCGATCCAGCTTATGTGTCAGGTCCGCAATTCGTACCTTTGTATACATCGACAAGAGGGTATCGTCCACGCTAGCATATCTCAATCTTTTCCGTGATATTTGGAAATCGTTAGGAAATTCCTTCATCAAATAATCAAGGTCGCTCTTGTTAAATTCATCATTGACAAATGTTAGAGTAAGAATTAAATTCGAATTCAATGATGGTAATAAACCGGTAGCCTGTAATGAGAAACACATACAGAAATCCATATAATTAAATAATGGAAATTTGTCTGGTACTGTTGAATCCGATAAACTTGAGGAATTGACGCTTTTCAATTGTAATGCTTAATACACTAATTTTATAAATTAATAAATGTTTTAATAAAAAAAAATTTCACAAACATTGCGAATCCTTTCCAAATAAGCGCTGACGATGCGTAATTTAAAAGGAACCGTAGAAAGAGTACCATCTGATGATGCATTTCGATAGGCGAGTTCATACAGTGCTTCCCTAAGAATCGCCGTAACAGGCATATTGATTGCAAGTAGGAATGATTTCGAATCATAACCACTGCTTTTATGTATTTTTTTTACCTGAAAAATTAACCATAGCAAACTATTTGACCATAGCAAACTATTTGCCCTCAAAATTTTCAAATATATGAAGCAGTTCGTTAAGAATTTCAAAATCCGTTTCATTCAAAACCTAGAAAATGAGATGAGAAATCAAATAAGCATTGATCAAATCTAAAATTTGATTTAAACTAAGTTTTAATTCACAACTAAATGTGCAAGTTCTATTTGTAAGTGTGCAAACGTAATACAATACTTGAGGGAATGCTTTACCTCAGCTACCACTTCGTCAGCAAACTTTTCATCTAATACACCAAAACAAAGTGCGCAACTGAACGGCACTTCTACATTTCCACTTTCTTCGGGTCCTCTCAACTGTCGAGCGCAAAGAGTACAAAGTGGGATATGGTCATCTGAGTTAGCATCGCATCCCATTCCTGCGATCGGTGCCCAGTGGTCACTCTCGTAACTCGCAAATTCTTAATCACACTATCCACTAACCATTCAATTCCAACTTTTAAAATATACGAACGCAGACGAGAATAATGGCAATAGGGAAACGGGTACGAAAGATAATGTTATACTTGAAACGGACAGAGAATGAATAGACATGCAAGATTATGTGCAGAGGATGAGCAAGGAGAAATAGACATCGTAATTATAGAAATTGAGAAAGAGAGGGAGAGTGGGATAACTGGTAACAAAAGAATCACAACAGCTACCAGTGATAATTATGTGAAAAGGCATGACAGAGATCAAATCATACTTCCATGTCCATCAGGTGACCAATACTCTCTCACGCTCTCCCTCACTGGTAAAGTTTATACCGTAAGGTAATTGTGCAATAAACTATTCCACAAGATTGGAAATATTATAGATGTATGAAATTAGCATAATTAAGAGAACATATAAAGAGATAACGGCGTCTTTTGTATATTTTGTATTAGCGTGGAAGCGGTCATCTGACTGTCACACTTTACTTTATGATTTGTTGACAAAGAAGGAGGCGGGATGTGTTGGCCGAACAAGAAAGAAGTGAGTATTCTGTTCCCGAGGATCATTTGATTAGGAAGAAGAGAGGACTGAAGAAGTTAGCCCACTTTCAACCCTCTCACCATTCAGCTCTGTTTTTGATAAAGCTGTTGATTAAATGAATTGAAATGGAATTTCTCTTCAGAAGAAATTTCAGAAACTGTCAGTAGCAGCACGAGCTCCTCCTGTCCGACAGTCCAGTGAAATAGTCACTCATGGAAATCAGACTGTAATAACACTTATTCAAGGAGATTAAAACTGAAATTGGAAATGATTTTAGCGGTCAATCGAAATGAGAATTTGCAAAATGCTGAATAAGAGACAAATAAAGTATGAAAATTGAAATTAGATCGGCTAAAAATTTTTAGGGAAGTGAAAAAAAAGATGATAAGGGAACTAAAAGTGATAAGAAAGAGTCGAAAGAAAATGAACATTTGAAGAAGATTAGTGAACCGGAGAAAACTCCCAGTGAACCGGAAAAAAAATCAGGTGAAAAAGAAAATAGTGAGAAAGAAAAAGAGGAGAGGGATAGAAGAGAAGCGGAGGATGAAAAAAGAAGTGATAATGAAAAGAAGGAAAGTAATAAAGAAAACGAGGAGAAAATCTCGCAGGTAACAATCAGTTGATCACCACTGAAATGCTTTTGAAAATATTGAACCAAATGGAAGATTCTTTGTTTTATCATAGAAGGCACAGAAATATATTCTATCCAAAAAGGTGCGGAGATATGACGTATGTGATTCCATTACACATTCCGTCAGGTTGAGGATGTTGGAAAGATTATTTCTTAGAAATTAGACACATTTGAGAAAGTTAAATATACTATTAATTTAGTTAACTTCTTTTCCAGAAAAAAAAATTAGTGATAAAGGTGCCAACAGCAATTAAAAAAGCTGATGCTGAAGATCCACAGTATCAGGTCTGATGAATTTGTTCGTAATTTTAAACCTGTTAAAAAATTTATTTGAAAAAAATAAAATGCTTGAAGTTGAAAGGTAATTGCATCATTGATGAAGTTAATAATTAATATTAATTATGCAGACACTTGCTGGCTTAAATGATGATTTATTTGGCAAGATAGAGTTGAATAAGCCAAGAAAGAAGCTTGTTATAAAAGCACCAACCGATTTTAAAAAGGCAAAAGCTGAAGATCCACAATATCAGGTTGGTGCAATCCAATCTACTTATGAAATAATGCTACCAATTTTTACTGATCAATAAATGTGGGATGATTTAAATGCCAAACGTTATAGATTGGATTAGGGCAAAATTCGGGATGTTGGACATGACTAAATTACCTTGAGGATTGGGAATATTAATGGTTTAATCTGGCATTCACATAACTGTCTCTATTTTTTAAACTTGCTGTATTTTCATAGCTTCATCATACAGCTGTGTGATATTTAAAATCTTGAAGAAAACCTTTTTATTACTTGAAATGTTCACCAAAAAATTTCGGTTGTTCTTCAGCTTTAAATCGTTTTCTTCCATCCATTAATTTTGATAGAAATTGATAGAGAAAGAAACAATATTAGCAATATCCTTTTTCTTCACCTCTCTTAATTGAATCTCTCCCTCTCTCTCATGACAAAAAAGACAAAAAGGTCAACAAAATCTGTTGAATTTTTTATAATTAAAATTGTAATATTTCCAGATATCTTGCATAAAATTAAATCTGCTGATAAAGCTAGAGAAAAATTCATCTAATTTTCCCGAAAAAGTTATGATCTATCTTTTGAACTTGGTTGTAGCACCGGAGAAGAACGCTTACTAAAAATTGTTCGGAAGAGAAATAGTAGCAGCAAGAGAGTGTGAAAAAGCAAATAAACTTACCTCAAAAGTCATCCTGTACTTGCTGTGTGCATCTCCGGCTGCTTTTTTCAAACAAAACAATATATTTGCAGCTTCTCAAAAAAAATTGAAACTTTTTAAATAAATTAATTTGGTCCCTGTCAGGCGCCTTCTATAAAATTAAAATGAATATGAAGTGAACTGCAATATTGGCATGTATTTTGTAGACACTTGCTGGTCTCAACAATGATTTGTTTGAAACGGAACTCAAAAAATGAGTGAAAAAAGAGGAAGAGGAAAAAGCTCAATAATTTTATGTCACAGATATTTGCGCAGAACTGAAGAAAGTCTTCATTTACGAATTCTATTTCCGATTCACTTCTGCAATGTCGTTTATTATATTATGAAGATAAAATGGGCATTCATGAAGTACTCAAATTTAAAATAAAAATTCGAAATCATTTAGTAAATATTGATAATTTGGTGAATAAATGAGTTAACATTACAAGTTCTCATTATTCATCAAAAATACTATTGCATTCCGATGAAATTTTATTCTGAAAAAACTTACTATTCTTCATTTCAATCTCATAATGCCATAATTTTGAAATGTCTGCACCTAAATAATACCAAAAATAGATCTGAAACATTTGTTCCAAACTTTTATCACTTTATTTATTTGTCTTGTTGGACATGGACATGTTAAACAGTTTGCATTAGAACAGTATCTAATTGAAGTGAAACAGGCAGTCAGTAAAGTATTTCAGAATCATAATAGTTTGTATATCACGTGACAATTCAATTCAGTACTGATACAATTCAATACTGATTCACATTTTAAACATTCAGATTAATGTTTCCCTGTCACTACGATACATGCCTGTCCTGCCTTCTTATATGTGCCATCAAATAGAGTTAATTAGCTCAAAAAATTGCATTCTGATTTAAAGCATCAAATCGAGAAAATGAAGAATTAAAAACTTTCGCCATTTTTAAAAAAATTCTACCAAAACATATTTGAAGCAATGGCTTGGTGACAATATTAACAACAGGTTATTTACCTGATCAATGTTTATATTAATTTTATTCACTTAGTCAATGCATTACATTTCAAATTAGTCTTTCGGATAAAAATTACATTTACAACTTCAAGCAAAATTGAATTTCTTGTCGAAAGGAAATATGTGAAAGTGCGGTAAAAGCAGACAAAATACAAAAATTAATAGTGAGATGGAACGCTCAGTGGTTTGGATAATTGGTTTGAAAGCAGACATTAATAATATTTTGATAGTCTCATATCTCGAGTACATATTCATACATTCAAATTCATATTTCACAGTATTCCCAAGTAAGAGATGGATCATTGATAGTCAATTTCCAACATTAATATTGATCGCTTCCAGCGGAAAGAGGCTAGCATAAAAGGAATGATTGATAAAAAGTAGAAAATTTTGAATACGTTATTCGGATTTTGAAGACGTCTGTCCTTCATTACTAACGTCACCTGAAGGCTCTTCCTCAGTAGCCGCTATAGTATCTTCTTGAACATGTGGCACTTTTTTGATGCTTTTTCCTGAATAAAAACTTTTTTTTCGACCTGTAAGGCATTAAAACACTTGCTTCATTTTTTTCTAAAATAATAAAAACCAGAATAAATTGTGATGAATTAAGTTATTCTAAACTGAAAAGAACCAAAATATTTCACTTTCCAATTTTTATTTTTTTTAAACAATTTTAAATTTATCACAATTATTAATTGGAAGTCAGAATAAAAAAAATGCCTTTTTCTCTTAAAAAATATTTCACTACATTTAATTAACTCACTACTTCCGCTTGATGCCGATACCAATTTCTTTTTACGGATACATTTGTCGGCATTCACTTCATGCGGCATTAATGTCATCGAAGCACGGAAAAAATAAAAAAGTGGATAGTAAATTAAATTATAACAACTGGAAGAATAAAGATCCGCAAATCGTTCTACCTAAAATCGGAAAAGTTTCAGAAAAAATTCTGAAAAAAAGGTAACCAATCTTTTCTTTATTTTTTAAATTCAAATCTAAAACTCAAAAATACTGCAATTCTTCAATCATGCCTGTGATGCGAAAAATGTTGTACGTGATCCGCTTCGAAATAATGAACCCATTTTGCTATAATACTTATCCATCTCCTGAGTTCTTTCCTGTAAGATAATTTATAGATTTGATATGTTAATAAAAAGCAATTGGAAAGGAATTGAAAATAAATTAATAAATTGCTGTTTTCTTACTCGGATTTGAGCATTTCCTTCTTGAATACTTTGTTGAGTAGAGCTAACATTTATTTGATTATACATCCCTTCAACCTGTTTAGTCAATTCTATCACTTTTTCAAATAAATCATGCTGTTGTGACCAAATGGATATCTCTTTTACGAGTTCAGGTATCACAAGAAATGTACGCCATCCTTTTAAGCGAAAATGTAATTAGTTAATTTCAGTTTCAATGGTCAATAGAATTCATTTTAGTTCTAACTAAGAACTGATAATGTTTTAATTGATAATGATTTCTTATTCAAACTAATTTTATTTATTAAAAAAAAAGTATGAAGTATAAAGCAAAAATAGTAGGAAAATTGAACAAACCATTTATAAAATGAAACTTAGAAATAAATAAGTTTAGTCATATAAGATACTAATCTAAGTTAAGGAAGCCAAAAATTTTATCCTAATAGACTAAAAGTACCTTTTGTCTTCTTCGATTTAAGTACATCACCAAAAATGTGATCACCAATGTATAGCACTTCTCTATCTCGAGCATTAAATAATCGACGAAAATCATCTGCATTACCTTAAAAAGTGATTAATGAAAAAAGCGCTTAAAAGATTGGTTAATTGTTCTATTTACATTCATTTTTGAAAAATAATAAAGCATGGATATCGCAAAACAAATTTTCAACAATTTTTTTGCAAATTTGCAAACAAACTCCAAATGCTTGGTCTCAAATAAACAGATAGTCAAATTGATAGATGGATTAAATTGAGGATTTTAATGACCTGTCTATATTACAAGTCATTTTCAAAAATATATAGCGACTACATCGGAACATTAAGTTATTATATTCATATCATGAAAATAATTGTCGAAATAAATGTAGCAATAATTTTTTTCTTCAAGTAAGTAATTTTATTGAGCGAACACATACCGCCAGCATAAACGTCACCCTTTTTAAGTAATCCCTGATGCACACCAATTTTAGGCGTTCCTGTTGCAGTGTCGATTTGTCGAAAAACAGTGCCTTTCAGGAACCACAGCGGTTTTTTTGCATCAACAATTGAAACGTCAAAATATGATGTCCAATCTGGCCCAATCAAATAGCTTAATATTCCCTGAATATTATTCAAAAAATTAAACTTTTAAGACTCAACTCTTTATTAACACATATATTTGATTCAACCAAACCATTTATAGTAATGTATTTCTAATTTTGATTTGCAAAGCCTATCGCTTACTATTATTAGAAAGCAAATGTGATAGCAAACATTTGTATAACTGTAGTTGCTATTGGTCAGAAGAAATGTCCGTCCACCATGAGCGCTGATCAATTGCAGGAATGGTTTAATTCGATCATCTTTGATGATATATTTGTCCAAATTTTGCAAAACATCGCTTTTTAACGAACTCTTAAAATGTAGATGTAAATTCAGCCAAGATTAGTTAAATTTTCAAAGTTTAAATGAAAAATAAAACGGATATATCAAATATATAAAACAGATTAACAGATATATCAGAATAACAATTATTATTAATTTGTGATTTACATTAAATGAAAATATAGATTATATTCAAACTTATTTAGATTATATTTAAACTTAAACGTTATTCAAAATTTCGGTTTGTTTATGAGTAATTGAAATTATGAGGTATATCCAAAAGATAATAGCCTTAACAAAAGATGAAAAATTTTGATTTTCATTTACAGAAAGAAATTGAAAAGAGACAATTTAAATCTTTAAAACTTCAAAAAAAAAAACAATTTGAATTAGTTCATACATCATTATGAACATAATTGACAGCGCTTAAAACATCTTCAGCAAGTGATTTATAAGATATTATGGTGTCGCCGTTTCGAACGCCTGTACCATCATTTGTCCTGGAAAGAAATATCATCCAAGCACTGTAGAAGTGGAAAATAAATTAATAAATAAGTAAAGCTTTTCTTTGGTATTTTTAACTTTCAGCAAATTGAATCAATTTTTGAATAACAAATGTTAACGATTAATTTTAGATATTTTCTCAATTTAAAAATTAAAGCAAAGACATCATTATTCCTGTTCTTGTTGCTTTTCTTAATCATCTCAGAAGAACAGAAATCGATGAAATCCATTAAATCCTTCAGAAAACCGTATTATCTGTATGTTTTTTTTGATGACACTTTATGAGGAACTTAATTTCTTGTATTGGGTAATCAAATTGTTGGAATCTAAACTAACCTAACCATAACACATTTAGTTAGGTTACTTTAGATTCCAACAATTCTTCAACGGAAAGTGTCAAATGTATTTCAGTACACAAACCGGATAATGTAGTTAACTTTTCCAGAAAAACACCACACAAAAATGTGTCTCTATTAAGCATCCTATTAATGAATTCCCCTATCTCTAATACCTTTCATGCCTATTGCAATTCTATTCTTGTAGGAGAAATACATATTGCAAAAAAAAAATGGCGAAGAAAGTTAAAGACCGGAAAAATTTCTGACATCAGAGATTCAATAATTTTTCCTGTTGAAAATTATTTTTTTTTAATCCTTTTCAAAAGAAAAGTACTGCTGCATATAAAATATGAATGAAAAGATGGAAAGTGGAAGAGATTTTTTTATTTCTTTCCAATTTCCTTTACTTATTATTTTTCTATTTTCAACAATTCACGCCACTTTATTTAAATTTGACCTTCTAACGTTTTCTTTGCATAGCTTCATTGCCATATGCATAATAGGGTTTTGAAATGAGAAAACAATGAGAAACAGAAGTTGGAAAAGTTAGGATTTGAAAAAAAAGTAAACCAAATGTATTTTTTTTCAAATCCTAACTTTTCTAACTCCTGTTTCTCATTATTTTCTCATTTCAAAACCCAGACTTCTAAATAGGAAGTTTGTTATTTTTCATACAAACTAATCATTGATCTTATTCAATTTAAAAACCGGGAAAAATATAGCCGAACATTTAACTTTTTTTGATACTAGCTAAATGTTTGTTTTACCTTTCGTAGTTTTTATGATTATCGAAGTAATGAACGAGTGTAATGAGCACATATGTATGGGCTATATCAAACAATGAATTCATCACCAGAACGTTTTCTAGATGTCGCAATGAGATGAATTTGTTTGGGTAATGCTTTCTGATATCCGATCTACAGAAATTTATTAATTTCTTAAATTAACTTCTTACCTACTTTAAAGAAAAATACATCATTCTATCAGTTAAAGAAAAAAAATTGTGCGAACATTTTTCTCAATCAGTTGTTGAAAAAAAAAAAACAATAAAGATAAAAAGTTCACCGACGAAGATAATTATAGCCATGTATACCAACAAGAATATTTCCAAATCCATCAACTTTTAATAAATTACCAAAAGTTCGATCGAACCATAAACCTGTGATTGGCAGATTGCTGTGCAAGAATGATTAAAATAATAACTGATGCGGCAGTCCTTTTTAGGTTTTCTTTTCTGTGATATCATCGACTTTCCTTAGCGGAACAATATAATTTTTTGAAGAAATTTCTATTTGTGATTAATTAATTCATAAGTGACAGCAATGAACCTTTCATCATGTTTTTTAATAGTTATTTAAAATTTATTTAAAAAGATCACCACGAATGGCAAAATCCTGTTCATATGGAAAGGATCGTAATTGCTCGGGATAGCCGAGTAGTATTAGACGACTTATAATGTTGTTGTACAACAAAATATCATATTCTGGTGATTTGTAAACTAAAAAATCAACTGTGAAATTGAAATTAAAATAGTTTTATCAAGAAGGCACAGAGTTCGAAGAGGTAAAAAAATAAGCTATGTGCTTCCAATGTAAAGATTACTTCATACCGAAAAATAATGGCTTATGAGTTAGATTGAGCTCAACGAAGTTTTTCACTGTTTATATCATACAGAAAATCAACTTAATAATTTTTTAAAAAGTTCTTGACATTTAATTTTTAGACCTCATTCACTTACTTGCTAATGTAAAGTCCATGTCAAATCCATAATATCGAATTTTTTGAAGATAGACTGATCGATTGGAAAAAACTCTAAAATAGGAAATGGAATTGTGCATGAATTCTATAAATCGGATGCAATCACATCAGATGAAGTAATTTTATATTTAATGCGAGCAAAAAAAAATCATAAAGTATACTTACTACCTTCAAAACCGAAATATATTTTTTACCTTCTTTACTTTTTCACTTTCGTTGTTCAAGCAGCATTCCTAATTTATCGTATTTCAATTTTGGCATAACAAATTAATTGTTAAGTTACTTTTTTAGCTCCCTCATTTTTTTTACAACTTAACTTCAAAGTTATTTAGATCAAAAGCTGTCACCGCTTCCACTATCATGTACTTATTTCACAGCTAGCAACAGGAGTACAGGATAAGGTATAGCTGAAATGCATTACTGCTTGCATGGATCGTTCTCGAAAGCCCTCCAATTTTTTTTTACTTCGGGACTTTTGGTAGAAGCTTCTGCATGAATTGCTTTACTTTTTACAGGGTTTTTATTATTCTCCACTTTCTCGCTTCCCTTCATTCAAATCTTTTTTTCAAGTTGTTGAGTTCTGAAAATCTTTAAAACATTTCACATATATCAAAGTCTTTTTGAAATGCGAATTAGAGACTCTGTACACGAGAATACAATTTCAAATTTTTAGTTTGATAGCTGTTTCCTCGAAATTCTCAATTGTTACATCTTTATTTTATCTATCTGTCTCCAAGCCACTTTGGTATTCGATTTGCTTTTTTTCTTGGAAAAACGAACCAAAAAATTTCTCAAAAATAGGTAAAAATGAATTTATTCTTAAAAATGCTTTCTTATATGAATACGGTAAAAATTTGAATACAATGAATGCATGGAATGAATACACGAAATTTGAATACAAGGAATACCGTATTTAAAGCAAAAAAAAAAATCCACCAATAATGAGTTATTTTATTTAAATATTTATTAAGTGATAATTTGATTATGATAAATTTTAGGGCAAGTTTTGATGAGAATTTGCATGCCTGTATTATTTTGCAAAATAAGATGAACAAGCTATTTTCAAATTCCAATTATTCTAATATCGTTTCTACTTCCTTACAATATTTCAGCGAGAGATCATATATTCAAATTATTTCCTCGAATATATCGTCGGATAATATTAGTGATGTATTCAACCTGCGGATGTCTACTCTTTTCCAATAAAATGATCGCTTCGCGAAGATGATCACTGAAATCTGATTTCATTCAACAAAAGCTTGAATATATAAATAAAATTTATTGTTTCCAATCCAATGATAACGTGAAGATAGGTGAACATTTCTGGAGAAAAGTAAGATTGAAAAGGAGTTGGAATCTATAAATTAAATTTAGGAGACATTTCATTTTATTACAAGCAAAAATCAGGAACGCAAAAAGAATGTTCAACTACTTATTTGGTGATAACAAAAGCAGCAAATCCAGCTCTCTTCTAGAATCTTAAAGGAATTTGCAGACTAAGAAAAATTAATCGAATCAAGCAGTAATTCTGATAATTTAAATGTCTTTGACTTTTGCTAACAATTGATTTATGTCACTGTTCTACATTAAACTTGATTTTGTTCCTTTCTCATGCTGTTTACAAATGAACAATATTTAAAATAACATTAAAATAGTAAAAAATACAGACGGTAGTGCTTTTTGTTCCACGACCAGTTTGAATACTCCAATAACAGCCCCACGTTTGCCTTCCCAATATTCCGGATTTGGTTCAATTCTCTCCATAGCATCAAATGATTTTGCCGAGTATAAGTAATCACCAATCTTAATGACAACTATCATACTTTATATCAAATAAGTTATTTATAAAAAATGGAGAGATAAGTTTATCAATTATTGCCAAATGTAATTGATTTGATTTCAAGAAAAAATATCTCGAAAAAAATTTCAGATTTTAATAGAACTCTGTTCGTTTCTCTTATTATTGTGTGTCAAACATTTGAATCTCAATTAAACATACCCTATAACAATCGTTTGCAATTAAAGATAGTAATTTCAAAATATCATCAGAGTTCTTCATCTTCCTATACATTTCCCAAGCTAAGTTACTTTTACCATTTTGGATATCTGGAAAATGATAAAATGACAACTTTAAATTATTACAACTTTTCCTGACATTCTTCAAATTGCAGACTAACACCATCACGTAATCGGAAAATTTTTTCCTAAAAGCAATTCCGTTTTTTCAAATAATTTCAACTTAATTAATTCCAACCAAAAAAGCAGAAAAAAGAAAAGGAAAGAGGTGACAGCAAGTAAGACAAAAAAATTAAAAGGGGAGAGAAGAAAAAAATTGAGGGAAAAACAAACAGGCCCGAGCAAGGCTCAGAAAATAAGCTGGCTTTTTCCTCAATTCTTCATCAACGACAAGTAATAGGCTAGTTTCAGCTTCCTCGCTGTTACCACTGGCTAATAAGGCTTGACCAATGTTAAAATTAAATGTGTCATCATCATGAAGATAAGTCTGAAACAGACGAAAAATAACTGACATTTCAGTTTTTTCCCAATCCGTAAAACTTCGAAGACATATTGCTACTTTTTTAAATGAAACATACTTTAATTGAGTTCAAATAAACGAGTACTTCGTCAAATTGATTACTTAGAAAGTAGGAGGACGCCATAGCTTGTCGACCGATAATTGTATCTGTTAAAAAAAAAATTATAAAATGTGATACAACAATTAAACACGAATTTAATCATATTTAAAAATGAAAAAACTTAAAACTTTCAAAGTAAAATTTCGACAGAATTATTAAACATGTCAAAACGTATACCGCATTCAGCAGCTGATTCGCCAACTATTCTAAAATATTCTTGCGCCAATTCCAAATGCTCCTTCTGCAAGAGAAATATAATGAAAAAAGTGACAAAAGACTTCACATAGACAATTTAGATAAAATTTTCAATAAATGATTCTCTGAGATGAAAAATGAAATACACGTAGTCGACTGAAATCTAAAAATTCAGACAAAATAGTTTAACTCACAGATTTCTTCTGATAACTAATGGTACAATAAGTAATTGCCTTCAGAAGATGCTCAGTTGGATGTTGCGGATCCAAATCGTTTACCAGATTAAGTGCTGCTTCCACTTCATCTGTAAACTTAATTAATAAACTGTTGAAAAAGATTTTAAATTTAACTTGCAAAAGAAAGATATTTTGTAATCACTGTGAACAAAATTTTATCTCTTCTAATGAATCGTTTAATTTTTCTTATTCATTCATTAATTCAATTCATACTTTAAATATGTTATACGACCACATTTAAAAATAATTAATAATGGCAAACCTTTAAATTTTACACTGATTTCATTTTCTTTTTAGCATCCAGTTAAGAAAAAATATGAAATTTTAGCTTGCTCATATTATGAAAGTTATATTGATGGCACTTTCTTTTTCTCTTTATCTGTCTTCCTTTTTTTGTTATTCCTTTCATATTTTCATTTTGGTTCATGATGAGAATGATATTAATGAATTTCACTTTAATTCATTAATATTAATATCATCTCTCAGATCTTGATAGAGATCCAAACGAGAAATTATTGTTCTTATCCGAAATATTTAACACATAGAGGAAGAATTGCATCTTAATAATGATATTAATCAATAATTTAATTTAGAAATTTCAACAGAACAAACTAACTGCACAATCAAATAAAGTACACCTCTTTTCAGGTAGAAAATTATCAAATTAAGTCTTGCTTCAGGTAAAATATCAATAAGTGGTGGAAAAACTTGAAGTGCGGCATTTCCATCACTGAAGACAACCTGAAATGAAATGCATAAAGTTAACGCTTGAGATTTTTTAAAAAAATATATATTTAAAGATTAAAAAAAAGTTTGCATGCAAGCAAAAGACAAACTGTATTGTGAGAGATGAGATCCTTCACAAACATGAAATTTGATATTTTCCCATTTTGTAACTTTTGAAGTTCTTTCGCTGCAGTTTTACCATTATATAATTTGTAGTGATTACAGGCACGCAGATTTATAGCAATGGCACTGTCGGGATTTTCATTCAAATAAAGTTGCAACGCTTCCTATATTTAAAGAGTATAAATCTTTACTTTTGAGAGTTATACCATAAAATAAGTTTGGTCTGATAGTTTTGCATATTTACGTTTAGTTATAAAAATACTTTTTAATAGATAAAATTAGTTACTATATTCGATTTAAAAAAAAAATATTAAAAAGTGCTAAAGGAAATGATACAAGAGAAATGGATGACATTTAAAATTTTAAAAATAATGATCATTAAAAGGTATATTGTTAGATACTTACCAGTGAAAGATCATAGTAATCAAGCTTATAATAACATAAAGAAAGATAGACATTCAAAGCAATGAAATTTCTGAAAATAAAACTAGAATTATTAATATATTACAATGTTATTTATCTTTTTGACACATTTAATTCATTAAACATTTGGAAATTTCATAATCATATGATTTGATAAAAAACAAATTTAAGAATTATCAAATTTCTGAAACTATTGAAACAAATTACTTTTTACTAATTAGAATCTTTTTATAGATATCAATAGCTTCTTGATAATGTGAACGCAGATAATGCATCGCAGCGAGTGATAACTGATCTTCAACAGTATCTTGTAGATTACTCTGATTCACCAATAATTGCTTCTCATCCTTTAATCGATATGCCAAATGAAATAATAAACGGTTCTGAAGTGCATTCTTCGGACCTGAAATAAGTAAGATGAAAGCAATGTGTAGGTGTGATCTTATCATTCTTTTTCGGAGAAGAACAATGGAAAACAGAATATCCATGAAGAAAGATAAACAATTAAATCTTTTCAACTTGTTGAAATTTTCGTTCTAGCATTTTCAATCAATCTTTTTAGAATTAGTTATGCCATCTCAACAAACCACAGTAAAATCAGGACACTTCACATTCTTCATTCTCAATTAGCACAATGAGAATCAGCTTATTTGTTAAATTTTTATTGCATACTCGAATATTATTTGTGTTAATTTGAATTATTTCAATTCTAAATACCTTTTTCGGCATATTGTTTGGCTTCTACACATAATCCAAGGAAAAAAAAGCAACAAGCGATATAAACATTCACTTCCAATGGACAATTTTTCTCAGTAAGCATTTTTTCATATATCTAAAATTATTAATAAAGTTCTCAATGATTAAATTCTTCAAACAAGAAAAAAACATACACATACACACCAAAGAAATTTGATCGAATTAAAGAAGGAAATTTTAATTGAAATAATTCATATATTTCAAATACTGTATTTGAAATATAAGAATTATCATTGGAAAAAAGTTAATCAACGATCAGCAGCTTATGAAGAAATATCTTATTCTTCTCAATTTCTGCTCAATTTACCCTCAAGTAATTGTTAGATTTTCTAGGCTTATTACCATACCAAAATTATTCATTGACTATACTTTGTAATTCTTTTTTGTGATTTGGCTAACCGATATTGCTTTCCGATATTCGCCGGCATGAAAAGCGCAATGTCCTAGCCAAAGTTCCATTAAATCACCAATATTTCCATTTTTTGATTGAAACTGCAATCTTTTTAAAGTTTAATTTTTTTTTTTGAAATATTCAGTCATTAGCTCCGAGATTTATATTTTTCGACCTCATATATTGAACACTCTATAAGTTCAACTAATCAAATAACTACAGTCGATTTTCTCCGAAATCTTTAGATGACAAACTTATTTAATTCACTATCAAAAAGAAAAAAAGAATCCACAAACCTGTAACAATGACATAGCACCAATATAATCGCGTTTCAATAAAAACTCATTCAGCTTAGGGATTTTCCTATCGTTCAACTTTTGCTCTGATTTCTTCCAGGTAGGTCGAAGTCTAGACAACAACTGCAATGACCACCTGACTGAGTGTGAACACCATTCCAATATTTTTATTAACTGAAGATGTTTTGGGGGACTACACACTAAGTAAGCAATTTATGTCAAGACCAGTCTTCCAAAAAATTTTCCGGGCGATTGAAGGTATAAAAACTTGGCATCCGAGAAAAACTTACCATGATTTTTACAGCAAATTTAGCTCATTGAATGAGCATTGAGGGAAAGTATGCTCGGTGTTATTAAAAACTGCAAATGCAAATAGCGATAAGTTGATCGAGACAAATGATGGTTGCCAGGGTGACCTAACACATTATTTTTCAGTAACTATGTCACACTCTTCTTCCTCACCATAAATGTCCAGTTAGAAGGATTAAAACACCTACTATGGTGCAAAACCATATTCAATATTAAAATTATATTGAATTATCTCAAATTTCATCTGGACTGAAAAATGTAGTTGCCAAACCACGGCGCTTTCATGGGTCCTCCCAGTTAAACAAAAAACAATTGGTGTAAGAAAGTCCACATTTTCAGGAGATAATTATTTTGCGAACTGGGAGCCGAAATAAAGATGAAACTCAGAAAGAATGAAAAAAAATTTCAATGTAACGAATTCAAATTTTTATCATCCACAACAGCAGAATCTAATGGTATTATGTGAAAACACAAAGAACTACATGAAATAAAATTTATTGTAATATTAAGTACAATACTTTTATTACGAGACCAATTCTTTCACTTCTTTAAGCTGGGCAATGTCACTGATATAAGAGCGGGCTGAGCGTCGATGCTTCACCTGCAATAGAATTTTTCGATTACAGTTGATATTCAATTAAATTTAATCTAACTGTCAGAATTTTTTAATGACGTCAATTCTTAATAGATACCACTTTTCATGCTGACTTATAAAAAAGTTGAAATCAAAAAAAAAAACTCTAAGAACTTCGTACTTGATCTTTGCTACGCCGCCTTCGTCTTACTTCATCATCTAAAGCATCACGTTGCTTTGCATGCTCTTTTTCAGCCCACAATTTTTGCAGTAAGTAGGCATCATCGTCGAGATAGGGCACTTCATATTCTTTTTCATTTTGTTTATCAGGAGATGTGAGATGTTCTGTGGCTTGTTTCCTAAAGAGAAAATAAACTTGCCTTGAATAAATAGAAATAATAGTTTGCAATTAAATTGCGCATCCAAGTTTTTTTAGAAGAGATCTAAAGAAAAAACAAAAACAAATATTCTAGCAAAAAATAAGTCAATATCAATACAAACTGATAAGTAAAGCCCGCAAAAGATGTGATAGTTCGCATAGGTGGGTCTGCACCATCTCCCGTTTCAAGACGAAAATAGGCATCGTTACGTTCATGTACCACTGATTCGAGGTTACGCATGCTCTAAAACGTCATAAAGTCTAACATATACAAAGTAGCATTTATATTTTCCAACAAATTGCCGAAAATTTAAAAAAGTTAGTTACCATCATTTTTTCCAAAATGAAGTTCAAAAAAAAATCTTGAACGGGAACTCTGCCATTTCAGAAATTGATTTTACTATTCATAACATTTACAAAAACGGTAAAGAATTTCATCAAGATCATGAAACAACCTCAGCAACTTTCTCAATTCGATCTGGATTAGGCATACGATGCGCTTTCTGAACACATGCTTCCTGCATTGTCAGCAACATATTGCGCTCCTTCAATAGCACATACCTAAAATAATAATTTGATGATTTACAATTAAATACCTAAAATAATAATTTGATGATCACCCTTACAATTAAACTGCTCACTTTTTTAAAAAGCAAAAAAGTAATCATAGTTGAACAATATGACTTCTTACCATAATTTATGAAGATCGGTATTTGATTTTAATCTTAATTCATCCTTACTCCATGGACGACCAGGCTTCTTCTTATCATCAAGTTCATCCTTACCATAATTTGCCGGATCATCGAAGAATTCCCGTAAACCTTCCGGAATACTTGTATTTAGCTTCCCAGTACAAAAAGTTACTGCAGGCTTGCTCACACTGCTGGAAGAAAAAAGAAATTAAAGTGTCATATACTTTTTCAAATATTGGGTGGAAATTGGAAAGCGGAAAGCGATTTGACAAAACATTAGTCAGAAATAGATTCAAATGATTCTCCCTATCAAAATCTACCCAATCATTTCTTTTGCTTCCTTGAAAAAAATACAATAAATACTTACAATCTATGGACAAGTCGCTTCAAAGTAAACATTAGGCTCAGTTCACTCCCATAACCATCGTTTCATAGTTCATCCGTATTTTTTATTTATTATTGCCACAAATTCCCGATCTTCAGAATGTAACATGCAAATGAAGAGAATTACAGATTTGCACGAATCAATGCACTGATCGGTAAGGCAGTATCAAAAGAGTGGATTAGGTGGGAACTATCCCTACTTTTATTCCAACTGTGATCTGACCTTTCTAGCTGCTAGCAGTCATGGATGCCAGTGTATTCGCGGCAGGTATTAGTTCAAGTTGCTAACCGAAGGATGAGATGTTGTGGAGTGCGGACGGAGTTAGTAAATTTTTCGTTTCCTGGGTTGAAATTTCGAAGTTTGGTTTTGAAAATACTATTGCAGAGAAGAACGGGAAGAGAAGTGCTCGACAGAGGATTGGTGTGAGTGTGGTATGACGGAGCGGTATATGCCGAGCATCTTCCCGGAGTGTGACAAGCTCAAACAGGTATACCATCTCCTCTTTCTACATTTCCATAATTCTGGCAGGAATGAGCTGTCTTGTAGTATCCTTACTGTTGCACATCATGCAATGGTCATCACTTGCATATGTGCATGCAATTAATTCGATGTCCTAACTGTTAGTTATTGGTTCAATAGGGGTAGGACCGCATCATTTGCAATCGGTGTGGTATAAAATTGACTGTAACTCATTCACTCATTTGAAAAATTAAATGTTCATTTTATGTTTAGTCATTTTCAATTGTCTAGAGATAGAATGCTACTATAATCTAATAATTACGCTATGCTCTAATACTCGGACTATGTTTCAGCTTGTTATGTTCCTTTTAATTCATACCTATTACTATGAAAATGATTATTTTGAACATCAATGTAAATTTTTTTTAATTCGAAGATTAATAACTGCAATTATAATAATGTCAGTTAATGGAAGTCAATGTTTTTTATCAACAGTATTTTTGTAGACATACGATAAGTGTTTCTCTGATTTCTTCGAAAAATTTATTAGTGCTGAAACTTCAGCAGTTTCAAACCCTTGCGGCCGCTTGCACGAGACATATCGACATTGCATTGAAAAAGTAATTTCTTTCTTATTACTCATATAAAAAATCTGCGTACATCAAAGTTCCTCGTCGTACACTGGGATTTAACTGCAATTACTATAATAGAATCTTGAAACGAATAAAATTTACGACATTGATCTCAACGAACTTCGAAAAGACGTGCTGAATACAAAAGACGACTTGCTAAAGGATTCTCAAACTGCTGATAAATAGGTCAGTACAGTTCTACATATTTCTTTTCTACATTAGTAAATCTTCAGACCTCATTTTTACTTGCCATTTATGTTTATTATGATTGCTTTTCAGATAAATACTGCGTCAGAATTTCCTTCATTTAAGATCGGTTATTTTCTAAGTTCTTTAGAAAAAAAACAGCAATGCACAGACAAATAGTGCATTTGTTTGTGCATTGCTGTTTTTATTGTAATCATATTTGTCACTAATATTATTTTAGAATTAAAAAGAAAATTAATGGATCCGTCTTTGATGGGATCGGTGTCAAACGCCGCAGTTTTACAAGAAACAGCAACTGATACACGTTACAACCAGTTGGAACAAACTCTGGAAAATTTCCAAGTGTGCAGCCTGCTCATTAATTCTTACCTATGGAAAACATCAAGCGTTTAATTAAATATATTTTGCTTTTTAGGAGAATGCACGGCAGATGGGAGTGATTGCAAGTGATTTTACAACTCGAAGTCAGGAACCATTAAACCAAAAAATTCATACACTTATTTCTGGCCTTCATGTAAGTTACTTTTTTGCTGGTATGAAAGGAAATCATTAATGCATTTCAAATTTGTATTCCGGGGTTAATTTTGAAGCGTACTTGTCAAAATCATATGCAACAAAGCAGGATCTTTGCTTAGGAATTGGATCATTTAAAGAACCAATTTATGGATGTCAAAATACCCCTTGAATTGCTGGAATATCTGGATCAAGGGAAAAACCCTCAACTCTATACAAAAGAATGTTTGGAACGGACGTTAAACAAAAATAAAGAGGTGACGAGTTTTGAAACCTTTTTGTTATTTTGATTCCCAAATCAAACTGCAATTGAAGATCTATTTCTTTTATCCACATTACAATTCAGATGAACGGTAAAATTGAAATGTACAAGAAGTTCCGTGCAATGCTGCTGAAAGAACTCGGTGAAGAAATGCCAAATGATATGGTTTTATATCGAAATTTAAGAGACAAAAAAGATGCTTCTCCACAGCATGAAAATTATAATGAAGATGCTAGTGATTAATTTTCAGATCTAAACTCTGCATTAATTTTTGTTGGTTCAGTTCTCATTAGGTGCAGTTCGAAAAGATTCTGATACCTTTATCTTAGAAAAAACTTGAGGAAAAGAAATATTTTGTGTTTAGTTTCTTCAAAGTTTTCACTTTAATGCATATTTGTACTAACGCATTTTTTATGATTTCACCTTTATCAAAATCAGGCTTTAAGAAGATTTTGCTAGCATAAACAAGCTGCTTCTATAGTTAGCTCTTCCTAAAGAATTAGAACTGCTTGGGTTGTGTTACAGTGCGTGGTGCTATTTTTGTCTCTTGAATTTCGAATGCCTTTAAAAATCTCGGCACTTTCACACGATTTGTTTTCTTCTGATTTGTATGATTAAAATGTTATGCTTTGTGTTTTGCCAAACATCAAATAAATATTTCGCTGCAATCGTATCTTTTATTTTTATGATATCAATTTCGATAAAAGATATACTTTAAGAGGGTTATTATTTTCAAGGAAGAATGGAATTCAATAGATAAATCGCAGATGCTTCGTGATTGTATGGCGGATATTGAATTATTTTTTTTTTAATAAACTATTTGAAGGTATCGAATGGCTATTCGTTACACTGTTTGAGTACTTTTTTGTTGATGCTGTAGAAAATTCATTATGTCAGTTTTCTTACGTGGCATGCAACCGCAGAATGGTTTTACTGCCAAAACGATACGATTTGTGGAACATTGCAAAGCATTGCAAATTGGATGGACACATAATAAACTTATAAGTCAAGGTGTTGAAGAGTTTGTGGAAGAGTATTTGCCATGGATAAGGTTTGAACTATACTGATCAGATTCTATCTCTGCAGACCGAAATATTTTCGGTCTTTTTATTTCAGTTGAACATCTGGATTGATGCGATTTAGTCATCCTGTTTGAATTTTCAAATTTTTAGTTTTTTCTGGAATTATATTCCTTTTTATTAATATAGTTCAAATCACAGTCTTGGCCCTAGTGCTTCACAAAACTTTTTTTCTAACATCATGGTGTATAATCGCATTTTTCTGTTCTGAAATGACTAGGTTTCTTAACAGTTATGTAACAATTTCCAAAAAATTTTGATAATGCAGGTTTTTGTATGAATTTTATTTTGCAGAAGAAATAATCCAAATCTTGAAATAAGATTATTTCGAACTCATGTTAACTGCGATCCATTTGTAATTGGAATGTAAGTTTGTTTTTTTTGTTCAAGTTCTATGATGTTCATGTCATTTCCCTCTGTATAATTTTAGAGAAAGAAATCTGGTGACACAAATTTTTTGATTTAAATCTTTATACTTACATTTATTTAAATAAATTAGCAGTTTAGCTATGAACACTGTCGCCTGAGAAAGCGGCGATGTGCCTGGAAGACCAAGCATCAAGTGTTATCATTTGTAGAAGAAATGGCTATCGGTGGAGATTACGTTAAAGGTCAGTTTTGAAAACCCTAAACCGTAGTTCTTGATTGGTTTCATTTTTCATCATTTCAAAATCAAGTTATTCTCACTTCGTTAATTGAATTTTCAGGTAGGAAGCGAGGAGTGAAAACGATATTACCACGTGGCTTACAGCTGTGGAGTACGGAAACAATTGGGCATGATGTATTTAAAGTTTGTAGTAAATGGAAAGGAGATCCTCCAGATTCTACGGAAATAACTAGTGCTTCTCATCCATATTTTATGCATAGGAAGCATGCTTAGAAATAATTGTCTAAGATTAAATCGAAGGCGAAAATTATTCATTTCTATTCAAATGAATTATCAGATCTAACTCATTTAAATAAAGAAAAAACAGCAGAATTCTTAGTGAGACACCTAATACAATGTAATATTTTGAATTTGAATAGATTTTTGCTATAGTGTTGAGGTTGTGTTTAGACACTATAATATTCTTAAACTAAGCCTTTCCAAAGTTAATAAAGTTCCTCTAACGAAAATAATGTTTTTAAAACTGATTTATAATACTAAAGAAATTTTGATGTCATAATTAGCTTTTTTATAATTTCAAACAAAAAATTATTGCAGTACTGATCCTTGTTAGTTCTTGAATTTGATATTTGTATGTTTTAAAAATAAAGATTCAGTTTTCATTTCACCGTATTTTATGCGTCACTTGTATCTCAATGGTAATGTACCTCTCTTTATAGATTTGAAGCATCAAAAATAAAGTGGTTTATGTGAGTAGTAAGTAGTTGCCGAAGTGTCTGTAAGGCGAAAAAGAGTGAAATAAATTTGCATTAGTATGAAGTTTAATTAACTACTGGAATTAACAGTTTCAAATTCTTGATACCATCTGTTTCAGTTAAGGTATTTCCAGCACTTCATTTTCATAAATCCCCAACTTCATCATTATGGATGAGGTTCAAGAATTGAAAGAGCCGAGAGTTGAAAAGGTATTAATTTTTCACGTTGAACTGTTACACGAAGTTATAATGTGAGTGCACAAATAGTTGTCTATTTCAATGTATTTTTCCTAATACAAAAGATATTGCAAAAATATTGCCAAGAGATAAAGAGGCTTGCATATCACATTTCCAAAAGTTTGAGGGTGATGCTGGCAGTATTTTATAAATACTTTTAAGTGATTCTTGCCAGCTTTAATTCCTCAATATGGTTAGCATTGAATATGGTTATTAAAAAATTATGAACTACTGATATGAAGGTATTACAGAATTACAATGCAGATGAAATTTGGTTTAATATCTGTCTTGTTTTTTGAATTGATTCATTGTATAAATTTGTTATTGCTAACTGCTATATTTCAGACTGAATGTTGTGAAGAAGATCCTGATAATGTAGGCGAAGTAAATCCTGATAAAGTAGACGAAAAAGGAAGTACATCAGTTGCACAAAATGAACATGATGAAATTATTGCTACGGAAAAGGTCCTCAATGCAATGCTATTTTATCGACGTTATGGAATTACCAGAATTCGCATGAGTATATCCTCGTTCCAGTAGGTTTTGCCAGTTTTCTAAGCAGTTTTCATTTTTCGTTTACAGGCGAAATATTGTTACTAATATGCATAACATCGAAACAAAATCTTTATTTTAATTTACCGCTTTTATTTTTAATGGGACAGTTAATATGATACCTATTAACATTGTTAGAATAAGGGACACATTCAAATCAAGGTACTTTTTTTAGACTATTAGCAAAGAGAAAAGTATCAATGGTAAAATTTATCCGGCACAAATTGCTTATAAGGAGGACCTTTATTTTTATAATTCGATATTTAACATTTTCTTTTTTGATATTCTTTTTTTAGAAAACTCTCAGAAGAACAACAGGCGGCACTTTCTCCAGCTTATCAGTATCACCTTGTTAAAATGAAAGAATGCATTATTCACAATCAAAAGTAATGTCATATATCCGCGTTAATTTTCTCGAGAAGTCATCATTTTCGTGCTTGAAATTGATTTTTCAATTTCGTTTTTTTGATCATTGCTAAGTAATTTCATTTCTATATTTAGTCAGCATTTTCAAAAATCTCTAAAATTATCAAACAGTAGAATGACTTAACGATGATTATTTACAGGGTATTGAAAGAGATAATAGAATGCGGAATAAACATGTTAGGAGATGATTTTGCTTTACGTGCTGCTGCTCAGGTGACACAGTTAAGACCATCCAGTGATCACTACATGTCGAAAGTGAGAAGCACCCTGAAACAAATTATGAGGGATTGGAGCATTGAAGGTATGGTCGTACTATAAATAGCTGAATTATATAGTAATTTCTGGTTTTATCATGTAACTTTTTTCAAAATTTAGCTCATTCCTTTAATAAGTTGTTAAGTAAGAAATTTGATATAAAGATGCATATATATATTGAATTGAATTTTTGGCAAATTTAAAGAGTTTATCAGTGGGCATTATCAATGAGTAAATAATTAGGGCTAATTAATTGTTGTAAATAATTTACGAGAACCGATTTTATTTTATAGCTACAAACTACGAACTTCTTTCTTGAATTCCGGAACTTTTTGTTTGTTCTTAATAAACATTGATATTGATATTACTTTCGATAGGTTAAGCACTATAGATTTACAGCTGAACTCATTACATTTTCATAAAGTAACAGAAGCGAATTAAACTTAGTTCTATTTGAAGGTGAAGCCGAACGGGAAAGTTGCTATAGCGATGCAGTGCAAATTTTATGTAAACGCTTTCCGGACAGAGAAAGTCGATCGGACGTCGGAGTTCTGATTCCGGGAGCTGGACTGGGACGATTAGTTTGGGAGCTTGTTAGCGAAGGGTTCTCGGTCCAAGGAAATGAATTTTCGATTTTAATGTTACTCACATCAAATTTTATCCTTAATAATTGCAAACAGGTATTTTTATTAATGCGCAGAAATTAAGGATTTTGTTATTTTGTTAATATTATGTTCATTAATTCTGAAATTTATAGTTAGCAACTTATGTCTCAACTGAAATGCATATTTTCGAATTTATACTTTTATACATGTATGTTTCTTAATGTATTTTTAAATTACTTTTGAAGTTACTACATTGTTTTCCAGGCAAACGAATATAAGATTTATCCTTTTGTTTTGGATACATGCAATAATTGGTCGTACGGAGATCAGCTAAGAGCAGTACGCTTCCCAGATGTGTGCCCTGCTATGCCTGACAGTGTAAAGTCTATATGTTTCGAATTTTGATTTTATAAATTAATCTTATTTAGTAAACAATGAACTGCAAACTCTCATTCTCTTTCTTTCCACTTTTATGAATATATTACAAAGAGCAGTAAGATCAGTAAGACATTTGAGCCTCTCTACTTTTTAAGAAATTTTGATTAATTCATTTTCTTTTTGTTAGAGATCAAATAGTTTTTCAATGTGTGCGGGTGATTTCCTAGAAGCAATGAAAAATGATACAGAACGATGGGATGTTGTTGTAACGATTTTTTTTATCGATACTGCAATCAATGTACTCGATTATATTGATACGATTCATAAGTAACACACTTTTTCACTTTTTAGATGATATTGTTGCTCAAAAAATTGCAAGTTGCAAGTATTTTAGAGAAATCGCTTTATGTAGTCAATTAAATTAACTAACACTTTTTCTTTAAATTTTAGCTTATGTGCTTACACTGAAACTGTTATTTTTTCTTGGATTTACTGCGACACTGTTTTAAGGATATTGAAAAAAGATGGTCTGTGGATCAATTTCGGACCACTTACCTTTCATTTCGCTGATGGAGAAGCTGAGGGTGCTATAGAACTACCATATGATTCAATTATTCAATATATTACGAAGAAAAATTTTAAGTAATAACCCAGTTAAATTTTTTGTATTTAAATTTTATTTAACTGTACAGAGTCAAGATGTTTTAGAAATGAATTAAAATCTTGGTTTTCAGGTTCGAACGCGACGAACGGGCTGATAAATCCAATCCTACATTATATGCTTGCAATCAGAAATCGATGTTACGTTATCAGTATAATTGTGGATTTTTCGTATGCACAAAATTGTAGTTTATATGAGAATTTGAAATTAAATTATAAAAGCTCTGTTTTGAACTGCTTTTCAAAATTACACTTGATGTTTTAGAGAAATCGCTTTATGTAGTCAATTAAACTAACTAACACGATCACAATATTTCATGAAATTAGATATTGCCACTAAAGAGATGGTATCAAATGACTGTTATGACTGTTTTAAGCTTTTTTTTTTGAAAATATTTTTCTGTGAAAATGAAAATCCTGAATCCTCTGCATAGAAAAGGAGCATATAAAAATTTGTCTTAAAATGGATTTTCTGCAGTGCCAATTTGTAAGAAATAATTTTTGTGCCAGTTGTTGCAATTAATGTATTTTAATAATAAAATTTCTCTGAAGTATTTTTCTTATAAATTCTTATGTTCTGGATCTACAATTAAACAAAGGACTTTGTGTACTTGTGTTTTTATTAATGGGACAGTGTTAACCTAGTGATTTAATCATTTAATCATTGAATATTTTCAGAAAGAAAAATTTTTCGTTTCGGTCGGTGAATATGACCAATGTTTAAAAAAATTAAAATTTTGAGACTTTTTTTCTCAAGTGACCCTTATGAATGAATACTATCTATTGCATCAGTGAACTTCCATATAAGGAATCTAATGTTCGTTTTAAAGTTTTCAGCTTTTTTATTTTAATTTATATTCATTGCGAATCATTCAGTAAAGTGCAGTTATAATCCAAAAGTGATAGATATAGATAGCTTATTGCATGACTAAGTGAGTCACTAACTGTTGGTTTGTAATTAGGAAATTTCACAAGTTTTGAGTAATTTTTAAATACTTTAATTCATAGTTGCGAAACAATATATATTTTTCTTAATCTCAATATGATAAATTTAACATTAGCTTGAAATGCATTATCCGGTGATTGAACATGAAATTCAATGACAAAAATATTTTTGTATTGCAAAGTGGGAAGTGAAATAAAATGCTAAAGAAATTCAAAAATGTGTCATCTAATGAAAATCTTTCGGATGATCATTTGGAACGAGTTAAATATTATTTTATACTTGCAGGCGACTGTACTTGATAGTGATTTTACTGAGAAATATATGTGCATCGGATCGTAAGTTTTCTTGTTCTATGGAATTTTTGAAATATCACTGTACAAGCTTTCAAGTTTTTAATTTATATTGTATTGTTAACTCTATATAGAAATTGGAATTTTATTATAATGAACAAAAAACTGTAGACCATCAGTAATCCATCAAGTTTCGGTGTAAAGGAGTACATTGACTGAAAATGTCCAGCTTTGAATAAGCTGTGTTTGTTGTCGTTTTTGAATCCTGTAATTAATGCGATGTTTTCTTGTTTTTAGTTTTGCGTCAACATTTAATTTTCAAATTGTCTAAAATTTGAGAATTATTGCAAAAATAAATCTGTATACCATTTTAATAAAAATTCGGTTTTTTTTGATTACAGACCAGGAGCCGTGTCAGTTGTGGAAAGTGAAAAGTATTCAGCAACCCCACGAAATATCAGAACAAATCGACACGACGCTCATATAATACGGTGGCAACGTCTTAACGATACCTCCGGTAGCCACATTATTTGCGCGGTAACTGTTTTCAAAATCTTAGAATCCAAATTTTTTAAAATATTTTTTCCATATCCGAAGTATATTAAAGTCAGAAAAAATTTCTCCTTCTGTTTGTCCATTTTTCAGTCTGCTCAATTCTTCGATATCTTTGTTGTGAACTCTGATTACTTGGGTTTGCTGGATTCTACTTGTGCTCATCCCTTCAATTTGACGGATGTTGATTGGTGTCCATATGATTCAAATGCTTTGGTATGTATTCTTTTAGAAGAAGTTTGCTCATTTTGGCTTGTGTGTATCTTTTATGTAAAGTTTCTTATTATTAACTAATGTGCATTCAGCTATCATGTTCAGTCGACGATGCAGTGAAATGTTGGGATTTACGGGATCTGCGATGTCCTTCTTTACAAATGCAAGTTATTGGTGGAGCAGAGCAAGCGAAGTGGGCTCCACTATCAGTCAATTTGTTGTGTACTTCTCACGGTACTGATCTACGACTATGGGATAAGAGGGTAGGTTGAAGGATTGAGCATGTTAAAATATGAATGTAAACTTCATTTGAATTAGTATGAATTTGAATCAATACAAAATAATATAAATTTCCGATTTTATATCTTTTTTAGCACTGTATCAAGAAAAAGAACAAAATATTGATGATAAAGGAGAGGAGAGAAAAAAGTAATCGAAATAGAAAAATTCTGTTTTGTTTTTTGTAGAATGTGAGCTTACCCTTGCAAACTGTCCCAGCTCATATGCAAAAAATTTCTTGCATTATGTGGCATCCCACAACTGCGACATATTTTTTAACTGCTGGCTTGGATGGCTATATCAAAGTAATTTTTACTATTTCTTGTAATATAAATTAGCATCTATTCAAACAGTTTTTGATTTATTCAAATCAAAATCTTTCAAACATCAGGTTATCATAATTCCTTTTTTTCCTCTATTTTCTATTGAAATCCAATAAACCGTGCAGAAACATTGACAGAAAGTAGAATGATCTAATGTTGGAACTGGGAAATAGATATTTGATTAAAATTATGGACACAAGAATCTACTTATTTCGAGTGTTTATTCTTATGCCTTGTAATTGAGATGTGGAATAGCAACGATCTGACAAAACCGCGACACTCGCTAGGGATGCTCCCGTCTCCAATTTGGAAAATTAAGTTTTCGGTAAGCAAAATTAAGTTTTTCAAAAGCTATAATCAAATTGAATTGAGAGATTTGCTTTAACCTTTGCATTCTAAAATGTGAAGGTGAAAATAAGAATTAATTCTTCCGTGTTTATTGTTTCTTGTATTAGATTTTTCCTACATACATATTTGAATTAATTTGAATGTATTCCATATTTAGAGTGATGGAAATGAATTTGCATCAATACCATTACCAATGTATGGTCAGTTAGAAGAAAGTTGTGCATTAAGCTTATGGAAAACCCGTACTCTTGCCATCATTCAAGTAATTGGAGTTAGTATTAAAACTTTTTTAAAATAGTTCTTGTTAGCAGATGATTGCCTAGTTGCTTTTTCTGTCCTTACTATTTCGATTTTTAGCCAATTAATGTAGGATATAAATGCTTACCAGATCTTTTCTTTTGATATCGGCATAAAAAAACAAGTTTTTTTAGTGTGAAGATGATGTTCTGCTTGATTTGTGTTGGCAAAGGTTCCGCATGCAGAGACATACTTACAGTTGCTTATATTCAGCATCAAGATATGGCAAATTACGAAAATACAATCTGCCATTGTTCGAAGATCTAGTAATTATTGAAATTTTCAATTTTCCTAAATATCATTTCTGATAGGAAATAATAATAATTTGATACTGATAAGAAACAAATTTTCTTTTGGTATGGGCATAAAAAAACGCTTTCCAATATTCTGATTATGATATGTGAACCGAATAGCAGAACAGTATACTATATTAAATCTTGTTGTAGTCTGAAGAAAAGAGTTGCTCTTCAAAAGTTGATGAAAATACCGAAAATGCATTTATTCTTGATGAAGAAATGGAAGAATCGAAAACAAAGGCGCGAGTTTTATTAGCAAATACCAGTATGTTAAATACTATTTTTTGTGAAGATATACTTATTTATTTGTCGTTCTCTCTGCGATATTAAGCATTCGAACATAAGAATGAGTGCTGAATCATCTTGTTTCTTTTTTTTGCGCATAAACTTTCTTTGATTGAGAAAATGAAATGTTGTAGAAAATTGTAGCTGATCCCAAAAAATCGCAAAAATTGAAAATTTATTTTGCAGGTAGCACCAGCAAGCTCAGTAAATGGCCGTTAATGATGGAAACTATAGAAAACGGATTTTGTTTAACAGTGCCCAGACGTGTAGATGTTCTGATATCTGAGTTGGTTCTTTTAAGGCGCATGTACAGTGAAGATTTAATTGTTGAACAAGTAAGCAATTTATCAGTTCTGAAAAATTTGAAACTTTTCATAATATAATATTTGATTCTTATTATTACAAGGAACATTTATTAAATTTCGATTAATTTTTTTCTTTATCAATTTAGTTTGATGACGAGCATAGTATAATAGCGTGGAGCAAAAATGCAGCTTTAAAATTTCGAATTAAAATTGCCTCGCCATTGGAGGAGAGAATGGAAGGATTCACACATATAATTATCCAGATTATAAATGAAGAAAGTTATTTATCGGTTGATGAAGTTAAAACTGTTCTCAAGGTGAATTTTTCTCTTTTGAAAATATGAGAGCTTTTGTCAATTGGCTCTTGAGTACTTGATTGATTTGGGAGATATTCATTACTTTGGTGAACACAATGTTATCTTTTCCAGAAATTATCAGATGAGACAGCGAGCATAGATATATCTTTTGAGAAAGAACCAATTTTACCGGTTATCCTACAAAATTTGCTGAAAATAATAACTTCGTTGGAGGTATGCTTTTCATTGTCGAAACTGCAATATGGAAGATCGGAACTTTAGTTATGGTGCTAGTACCTAGCAATATGTATTTTTTTCCTTACTTGTTGAATTCAGTTTGGGAGAAAAATAAAGGGGAATAAAATGTGAAAGTTAATCAACCTTAAAAATTATATCTCTTTGTTTGTCTTACATTTTTAACTCTATATTTCCAAGATTTTTCTTCCTCGATCACTTGATATCCCACAGCGGCCAGAAAATGTTGTCCATTTTTGTGAAAGCGAAAGTGACCTACATAGTGTCACACTAGAAACCATTCCCGTTGCTCCACCAAAAAGGTAAATTCTGCCAAGTAATTATGAACTTATTAATTCTCTACTAATCTATTAATTTTTTAATTTGTTGATCTTTTGAATCTTTCAAACTTTGTATGATTTTATGTCATTTCTATCCAAATATTAATATAATATATGCGGAAAAGATAAAAGCTCTTCTTCGAAATTAATGATGTATGCAATTTACTTTTTAGTATGCTATCATCACCATTACTTTCAACTTCATACGACTGTTGGATACCATCTCCTCGCACATGTGGAGCAGATTTTAATGGCTCCGGTGTGATCTTTTTAATTGCATATACAAATTTTTAATTTGCATATTTTTATAGAAGTTGTATTTTAGAATTTCAGCTTTGAAAAAATGAATGTTTTGCTAGTGATAGCAGTAACCTGTTACTGATATAAATTTCAAGGATTTCTGGTTATCTTCGGACGAAACGAACTAGCGACACGACGTATGCAATCGAGTAAGAGTTCCTTTCAGGACGAATCACTTTGGCTTTCAGCAGAACGGATTACACAAGCTTCGAAAGGCACTGTTTCGAAGGTTCTTTTATTTTTGGGATTTTTTTCCGGAAATTTCCATTTCATGTATTATTTGAAATCACTTTAGAAAGGTCCGTTCAGTTTATTGGATGATGGGCATGAAGCTGATGATAGACAGGTTAGTAGTACGCCACGTTCACTCGATGAATACAAACACGAGCTGCTATTATGTGAGTTTATTGAATTCATATATTTCCATCAAACCGCTATAGAGTAAATATTTAGATTTTATAAAATCAGTTTTTCGAATTTGAAGTCTTTCTTTAAACTGCTGTAAATAATTAACAATTCATCAAAGTTAGTTTTAAAAATAAATTACAGCTGTGGAAGATATGCACACTCGTTGTGGTCACGAAAACTGTAGTTCACCACAGTACCAATCGGTCTCTGATACTCCGTTTTTTTCCCGTAATATGACTTTCTTTCATCATAAATTTGATATTTCAAGCAATGGAGCATCTTCACTACTAGGAATGCATGCAAGTAATGTATGTCACAGTGTTTTTAAAAACAAATAGCAAGACATTTCAGTAAGATATAGCAAATTATGATTCAAGAAGTCACTCAGATAAAGCTGTGGTTTTCAGTCATTAGCAATGTTGAGTAATACATGTAGTAGTAGCAGTACCCAAAATGTTCGATCATATCGTCGTCGAGGGAATTCAGGGACAAATGTTCTCGCTGATGGTAGTTTTGATCATTTTATTTTAATATCCTTTGTTTTCTCTAAAGAATTATTTATATGTTTACTTGCATTTTATCATGTGTCCTTATCTTGATTATTCTTATATGATTTAAAGTTTAATTTTTTCAAATTTGTCTCGTCTTAATTCAATTATTTAATCTATGCTTCGATAGTATTTTTCATGTTGTAGATCATCATCATCTGGATAGCTTTGCTCCAATATCCGTGGTTGTTATTTATGATGTATCAGTGCTCATGTCAGTTAGCAAAAATCTTGCTCGTAAATACCGGTTAGTTCCTTCGTTTTTGCAATCCTTTTATTTCATTGTTAAATAATAATTTTGAAAATTTCTTCAGCATAGTACACGCGCACTTCTAGCAGTTCAAGAAAATTTGATAAGACTACGTTAGATTCATACAAGATTTTTTAGCTATGACTGATTGAATTTACGCACTTGTAGATTATCAAGGTTCTTTTTTATTAGGCTTATTGGTGCTAATGCATTAGAACTATGTTTATGGAATCGAGAAGTAGTAAAGGAAGCAGGTCGCAAAGATTTAGAAAACATATGGCAAATCGTTGAGCTTTGTGTACGAATGGGAAAATCAAGGTTTAATTTTTCTCGGTTTTTTTAAAATACATATTTGGAGGTCTTAATAAAATTATATCTCACTTTTCGTTTTTAATGTCCTAAAAAATATAATCTAATAGAGACATTTTAGGAATAATAGTTTTTCTTTAAAGTTTCATGTAGAAGTTTTCAAAGTTTGTAACTAACTCTTTTGATTTTTAGTTATTTAGTGACATTGTTTCATTTTAAACTCTTTTAGTAATTTCTATCAGTTTGTTTTTATAATTTTTAAGCTTTTTATTTTCTATTCCATTTATTTTTGTCCTTTTCTTCCTCTTCTCTGACACTTAAATGATTTTTTTTTAGTTTTTGCTAATAATCCTCACATTTTATAGCTTCTTATTTTCATTTTAAAGAATATCAAAATCTGAATAAAGCAAATATAAATTTCTGTTGCGAATCATTTTTTTTGATTGTTGTTAACATGTTGAATTCTCTCAAACAGTCTTCTCACAAGATAAGCAGTTAACCGATGTGATTTATAGAACAGTATGATTAATCTATTTCTAGTCAAGATATTGTTATTGAGAAATAATCGATGTAAATATTTCTTGTTTCATTTGCCATTTTTGATAAATATTTTTAGTTGGCGAAAACATTGTTTCTTTGATCAAAGCAAAACACTAGCTAATGTATTGGATCCCGATTCATCAGAAGAAAGTATATCGGAAGAAGATAGTATGGCATTCGCAATGCATCCATTCGGACGTTCACTAATTAATAGTTTGTAAGTTTTTCGCTGTATCCTTTAAATTTTCCTTCAAAATTGAAATTTATTATTCAAAACTTTTAATTTTTTAATTGGGGCATGTTTCAAAAGAATTAAAAATTGTTCCAATCTTAATATTTCAGATTGGATTACTTTGCGCGTATCAATAATTATCAGACTGCTGCAGTGATAATTTGCGTCTTAGGTTTGAGAAATAAACGATGCTTTGAAATAGACGATGATAATATGGAATCATCGACTACCATGAAGTGTACTGTTCATCATGGGCGTTCGTTTAGTACTTGTGATACAAATTTTGTGAGTTCAAAACATACTTGCTTTTGTTTAAGGTGTCTAATGGCAATAATCTGAAAAGTGTGAGATAGCATGCTGGTATCTGAAGACTACGGTTTTAAAAATTATGGTTCCACAAAATAATCAAAGAGAATGTTTTAATTATTTTTTCTTAAAGTATGATGTGGATTCGATAACGACTGTAGAAATATTATGAAATCTCAATTAGTACCTTGCAAACCGATCCACAAGTAAACTTTTGAAGTTCTGAAACTCTTAAAAATTCCCAAGTACTATTTAATTTTACTAGTGTTTTTTAGATTAATTTGCATTCTACGAAAAATTGTTTGTTTTCACACGTGTCTATGATATCACGAGATATATCCGTTGCAGGATAAGTAAAAAAAGGAAACGAAAGAGAAAGGGAAATTTTTAAAAAGTGAAAAAGTGGGAAAATGATATACTTATGCGCTAAAATTTTAGGTTATGAGAAACCGAGTGCTAAACATTATTTTTTTCGATCACTTTTAGATTTTTATTTTCATTGATTATCTTTTTTGTAATTGTTTCGTGAGATGTTTCCATTTTTTGTCATACACGCCAGTTTCAACAGGTTGTAAATCTTCCAGGATCTTTACAAATCAATAATCTTTACTATTTACCAGTGAACTTTTTTAATCTTCTCTAACATTCTCGTACCACTAAGAATTTAATATTTTAGAATGATTTTTTAGTTGCAGGATAGTTCAGTATACAACACGACGAATGCGAATGTTAAATTAGGCCCGGATTTTCAGTTGTTACAACAAGAGAAGGAAAAGTAATATATTATAATCTTTCCTGAATAGAAGTATAACTTGCTGAAAGCGCAGCTGTTTGCTAAATTGGTTTCCAAAATGATTTTAACGACTAAAGATTGAGAGCTTATATTATAAAGAAGTGCAGATTATGATAAATTCATAGATTCATAGAATCTCCAGAAAACAAAGCTCTGGACGTTATTTTTGGTAAAATTTTTGGCTCATATCCGGTTTTGTTATATCATATATTTTCGAAGTTTCTAGCATTGTTTAATCTTGTTTACTGCTCCAATTCCCTTGTTCCTTTTGCATATATGTCCTCATTTTAGATCGGATATGAGAGAACATCCGTCATCAACAGCTTCTGCTTCGAAAACTGCTCGAAAGTTTTCTTCTTTATTTCAAAACGCCTTAATCAATCACCGTTCAACACAGATCCTCAAAATAGGTTTGGTCAACACTATTCTCATTTAATTCCGTTGTTACATAATCATCATGTTAGATATCTCTTGATATAAAAGTAGTAAATTGAAGTTTAACGAAAATGAAGCTTGTTCCATTACATTATCTCAAATGTTTCTATTTGAAGAACATGGGACCTTCAGCTTGAGAAATTAAATTTTAAACTTGTAAGAATTTGAATTTTCATGATTATGCTCTTTGAATTTAGTTGCTTTCGCTTGTGGGGATCGATTGCTTTTATTTTAGTTTTATTTTGTAGAACAAGACAATAGGACATCGCGTAACCGTATAACTAATATGTCATTGATCTCGAATATTGAACAGCTTATGTGGGATACCACGAAAAACAAATTTAATTTGTACAGGTTCGTGTCAGTATAAAAATTTTCGAAAATTATGTTTATTTTCATTTTTTTACAGCAACATCCAATAGAATAATTAAAGTTGCACAAATTATGTTATACAGTCCAGCCTGAAGACTAACTTATGCTTAAGAGAGAAGTTTTACATCTTTTAGTACCGATCAGCTCCAGTGGCTTTTCTTTGGATTTAGGAAAACTATTTAATGGAAAGAATGATCATTATAGTCGTTAATAGTTTCTTTCCAGCAATACGATAGTATTTAGTTTGAATAGTACCATTATTTGCAGATATTCCTTGTAAAAGCATGAAATCTTTAATTGTCCGAATGTTGCATTTTTTAATTTTCCTTTATTTTGTTTACTGCTGGAAATTTTGAAATGGGAATTAATTAATGCCATTTATAGCCTCTTGGATCCTCTTTGCAACGATCGGTTCGATGAAGTACGTCATCAGTATGCCAGTTTACTATTCAGGTGGAGAATGTTTTCGAAAGCTGCTGAAGTAATGAAATATAGTGAATCTGCACCTTATTCAGCAGCACTACGAGGTAAATTTTTAAATTAATGTTATGACAAAAATAAAGCTGGAGCTGGCAACAGAGACTGTCGAAGGAATTTCCAAGTTTTGAAAGCTTAGGAATGAAATTTTTTATATCTTGTTGCAAATAAATTAAGAGATGTGGCCAATGAAATTCACACTCTATTGCTATAGAATTCAGGCAGTTTAACTCCTTAATACTAATTGCTGGATTTCTAGCAAATTTTATCCCTTTTTTCATAAACAAAAATGAAGTGTCATATTTTAGTTCGGAGCTCGTGTCCTCGCTGTAACAATAAATTACTATTTTTCAAATGTGATAAATGTCACATACATTGGAAATTCCGTTGCTCATTATGTCAACTTCCTGTGCTGGGTAATTTTCCATGATATGATGTAATTTACAATTTTATGTTATAATTTACGTTCTTTCCTTTTTTATTTTATTTGTTTACTTTACGAATATGCAAATCTCCTCGAATAATAGAGGAAAAAAACATAAATCTATGTTTATTGCTTTTCTTTGAATATAGATTTTAATTTATTTTCTTATTATATCTCAGTATTGTTAGATTTTCGTTTTTCTTGTCTAATTTGCTTAAGTTTTGCAGGTATGTTGACAGTATGCCCCTTATGTGGACATGGTGGACACAGCGAACATATGGTGGTTTGGTTCAAGGAAAATAATTGCTGTGTATACGGTTGCGGATGCGATTGTAAATCGGCTTGTTTTTAGAAGTATTATAAATTCATCAGTCCTGAATGCAAAATTCATATTTTATCATTTTGATATTTTTTTATACGTGACTGTTAAATGTATCTACAGCGATAATCGAAGCAATCATTTCCAGTTGTATTTGCGACTCAAAAAGTGAGTGATAGGCATTACCTTTTTAATTGTTAGTATATTTGCCAAAGAGCGAGTGTATATTAAAAAATGAAACTTCCGCAATCTGTAGTGTTGATGGTGAGTGTATATATAATGTTAATATATTAAGAGCGGAATAAAATATATTTAATCCACACTATTACATGATATGATGGATTGAATTGAATCAAATTGTACTGCTTAACCTTCAACAAGACTCGATAATAGTCTCACTAGTTTTATAGAAAAACTATTAGATGCACCTAAAGAATTATCATTATGTGACTGTTAGAGTAATTTTGTTACAGACAATATCACCAAAAATAATACAACTTTTACCATACTCAACAATACTTGGTAAGATGTTCGTCAATGATGTGATTATAGCGATGAAAGTTCGATTTTACATACTGAATTACCCAAGCTTTACAGAATGTTCTCTTTTGAAGATGAATCTTCTTCCCAGTCACAAAGTTAGGAAAATCAAAAATTGGATACCCTTCCAAATCTTCCAGATTTTGAGTGTTTCTAATAATAAAAGCGCAACTTACTGCAGCAACCGATAAAGAATACACCGATATTTATTGAAGCGATGCGTGCAGCAACTGGACGGAAATAAGAATTACAAACAAAAGAAAGGAATGATGTTGCAGTCATGTCGCGATCACCATCAAGGCTGGATGCGAGAGTTTCGAGCTCGATGTATAGTGGAGAAAAGCAGACATATCTGTGGGCATCTTTTTCATCAAATAACTTTTTCCTTTTTGAGATAAAGTCATTGACTGGAATCCCTTTTTGTCCGGATCTATAAGTGATTCTGCCAACTTTTAATCTTTCCAGAAAATAGTTTGGGAGTGCATAAAAAGAATGAGAAATAAGGTATCTAAGAGGCATGAAACATTTACTTTACAAACTAATTATGCAGATAATAGCAAATATAAGTAGAGGGAAGAAACATCCTAT